ACCATACCCCCTGTCCTTTTTTATATTTTATTTAGAGACAGGGTCTTGCTGAGTTGCTTAGGGCCTCACTAAGTTGCTGAGGCTGGATTTTTTTTTTTTTTTTTTTTAAGATAGATGAGAGAGAGTTTTTTTTATTTTTTATTTTTTAGTTTTTGGCGGACACAACATCTTTGTTTGTATGTGGTGCTGAGGATCGAACCCGGGCCGCACACATGCCAGGCGAGCGCGCTACCGCTTGAGCCACATCCCCAGCCCCTGAGGCTGGATTTGAACACACAATCCTCCTGCCTTAGCCTCCGGAGCCACTGGGATTATAGGTGTGCACCACCAAGCCTGGCTGAAATGCACCTTCAGATGAAGAGGTCTGGGGTGGACCTGAAGTTGTCTCTTCAGAGCTCCCAGGAGATGCAGATGCTGCCTGGGTACACCTGCACTCAGTCACATCTGGAGAGAAAGCTAGAGTCCCCTCCTCTGCAGGAGCCCAGCCTGGGTGGCTGGGTGGCCACTGATGGAGGGTTGAAGACTCTACCTGGGCATGACACACCTCATTAGTGCCAAAGGTGGAAGGAACTGAGCTCTTAAGAAGTGTCACTCCTCCCCCAAACACACACCTGTGTCCAGACAGGGAGGGACACATGGGTTCATCCCTAGGGCCAGGGATTGAAGGACAATTGGAAACCAAGGTTCAAGTTGGGCTGCTTGGGGCAGACTGGGAGGCAGGGGAGGGGCACAGGGTTTGGAACCAGAACAGGCTGATGAGGGCCCTGGCCCCTGGAGGACCCAAGGGGGACGAAGGCTGCCTTTGCTTGCTGCTGCAGGCTAGCACGTTCAGCTGGAGCCTTTGTGGAAATGTGCTTAGGGAGCTTGGGTTGAGTGGGCTGGCAAGGTGCCACCTTGGATAAGGACCCTGGGCCTCAGGAACTTGAGCCCCTAGAGTCTGAGGAGGTTGTCTGCTTAAGGTCTCCTTTATCCATAGTAGAGGGGAGAGCCCAGGATGGGTCAGCAGGGCTCAGAGGATAGGGGACTTTGGGCGGCAGCATGTGGCCACCCAACCCTCAGAAGACAGGACCAGGCCAACCAGGGCACAGGAGGGGTGGCCCAGGTTCCAGCCTCTTGGCTGACTCCACCTGACATCCTCAGGGCACCCATAGGTGCTTTGCTCTCACCACCTGGCTCACATGGGAGGTTGCTGATCCTGGAAGTGGAGGGAGGCACAGGGTAGGCAGGAGGGGGAGGCTGCCAGCCTCTGGGATGGAGGGTGTGGGACCAGCCACTGGGGTGCAGGTGAGGCAAGACTCCCCGTTAAAAATAGCCTCCTCTCCCCACCACTTTCTTCAGCAAATATGCCAGCTCTTGCCTCCCCCTGGAAGGGACAGATGTCGGGAGAAAGCTGATTATTGTCAAAGGCTGGAGGCTGTGACCGGAGCTCTCGGTGAGCGTGACCCAATTCTGAGCTATTCTCAGCCTGGTGGGAGCTGAGTTATTCCCTCCCGCCTCAGAGGCAGCCTGACTTTGAAACGCCCTCGTCCTGGGCTGAAACCCACAGGCCCCTGGGCACAGAGACTCTATGTAGGCTGTCCAGGCCAACGCTAGGGCTGGGCCAGCAGCAACACCACAGTCCCTGCTTGCTGATGACCCTCTGTATAGAGCCTGCTTCCCAGACTGGCCAGGCCAGCTGTACTGACAGAGGCTCTGGGGCCAACACACCCTGCTCCAAGTCATCTCTTTAAGCTCAGCTCTTGGGTCAGCAAAGGCAGAAGGGTCCTGTTCCTTCACCTTCCAGCCCTCCTGCCTAGCTGTGATCCTGCGGCTCCTCCTCCTAGCAACACAGGGTCTCTCCAACCTTTGGGCTTGGGTTCAACATGAGATGTGCATGACCAGCACAGGGGAGTGAGCAAAGGCTTGCGAAGACCTGTGTATCTGGGCTGGCCCCTGCCGTGCCTGAACATGCGATGCTGGCTGCCAGTCCCAGCAGGAGGAGAGCAGAGCACAACACAAGAGTGAGCCCTGCTGAGGCTGCCCAAGAGCACAACTCAACACCATGCAGAGTTTTGGCGGTTGTGTGCAGGGTGTGTGTGGTGGCCACTAACCCATACATCTGCCTGGAAGGTTGTCGAGGTCAAATGTGGTGCCACCTGCCTGTGCCCAGCCCAGGCAGTATTGCTTCCAGCTCCAGTCCCCAGCACCCATAAGCAGATGACCTGGATTTTCCATAAGTCTCCATTGCAAATCTCTCCTGTAATCCTGATAACCACGCAAACGCCCTGAGGTGCAAAAGATATGCAAGGGTCTAAAGACCTCACATGGACCCGAATTCTGAAGCAGATGGGAAAAGGAGGGCTTCTCAGCAGCAGCCGTGTGGTCTCACTAGGGCAGAAGCAACCGTGGCAAGCTGTGAGCTGTGCTCCCACTGCTGATAAGACTCACTCAGGAGCCCACTGAGAAGGCACTGTCTCATCCACAGGATGCCACCCACCTTGAGCCCAAGTGGCTCTCCCAGGGAGCCCAAAGGCTGAGCCCCCCAGTGCTCACATTCTCCAGAGGCCTGCCTATCCCTGATAAGAGCAGCTATCCATGTGAGCTACACTGCCCACAAGATCAAGTACAGATTTCTGTCCCTTCTTTGTGGGGACTCCTTGGACCCTCCTGTTCCCAACCTCCACTGGCCCATTGGCCACATTTCACCTGAACCATGTGCCCACCTGTGCCTAGTTCTTGGGAGTCCCTGGAGGCAGATCCAGGCTACCCTGAGCATATTTAGGAGGCCTGATACAGGGCAGGTGCCCAAGGCACACCTGCTGGATGAAGGCCCCCCAGGTTTGTGAAGTCAGTCTCAAGAGCCACACACAAGCAGCTCTCCTGCATGCTGTCCTGGGGCACTGCAGGCCCAGACCTGGAGCCAGGCCCCTCCCAGAGGACACTCCACTCTACCTACCAAGAGGCAGGGCACCCCCAGGCTGGCCTGCAGCCCATAGCCCCCAGCCTGTGCTTGGAGCAGTTCTCCAGACCGGGCAGGATGTGGGTCAGCCCAACCCCTTGAGTCCCTAATGAGGCGGGGTGGGCAGAGACAGGTGAGACTCTGGGCCTGTCCCTTCACCTGTGTAGCAGGCCATGCTGGGGTGACAGTGGCATCGTCTCCCTGGCCTGGCAAGCTCTCCAGCACACAGGAAAGGATGAGGCCTCTGCAGAGTGCCAGGCAGAGGGGGAGGAGGGCAGGTTGATAGGCTGGCAGAGAGGGTGGCAGCATGACCTCCCTCAGTGACCTAGTGTCCCTCATGCCACCCATGCCCCATCAAGACCCAGCCCTGGTTCCTGGTTGAGGGGTGGAACATCTTAAGGCCCTAGTGCTTCCTGGAGCCAGGCCCCCACAGGTAGACTCCTCCTGTCCCCAGGGTGGGATCCTCATCTATGAGCCTCGGAACAGGTGAGCCAGGGTCTGACTTGGGGACATGCTCAGGGCCTTGAGGGACTTGGAGCTGGGAGTCAGGCTGGCAGGAAGCCAAGTGTGTCATTTCCTTGGCCACACAGTGGGTGATGGATGTTCATCAAGGAAAAACTGAGGCCTTGAGGCGAGCAAGCGTCAGGCTGAGCAGGGAGTTTCCAACACTGGCCCCATGACAAACCCTGTGTTATTGACTCAGGTGACATCAGGGACCTGCTGACCGGTCACTCACTAGTTGTGAGCCTGTCACTGCCCCCTGGGAGTCAGGCTCCAGGTCTACAGACCTGGGCATCACTTGGTCTCTGCTCTCCTGCTATGCAGACAGCCCTGCAGGGTGATCAGGGTGAGATGGGGACAGAAGATGGCTGTATGAGGTGCTCCAGCTGGGTGTGACCAAGTCTAGAAACGCAATACCAAGGGCTGGGGATGTGGCTCAAGCAGTAGCATGCTCGCCTGGCATGCGTGTGGCCTGGGTTCAATCCTCAACACCACATACAAACAGATGTTGTGTCCGCCGAAAACTAAAAAAAAATATTAAAAATTCTTTCTTCCTCTCTTAAAAAAAGAAAGAAAGAAAGAAAAGCAAAGCAATACCAAGAATGGACATTTATGTGGGTCTTGAAGGACCCACAAGTTTGACACTGGACGAGGTGGAGCTCCAGATAAGAAATGGCAGGATTCATGGTTGGTCGGGGCAGGAGGGCTACAAGCAGCCCAGATCCAAACAGCAGCTGTCCTATGGGGCACCATGGGTGGCCTTGGCTTTCCTGCTGCTCGTCCCCTCAAAGGTACTGAGTCTTTTTACCTGAGGGCAGGCTTGGTGACTTAACCAGGGCAGCAGTTTGGGCTGCCAGCCTCAGTTACCTGGGCCCTGCAGTCCTTGAGATCTGTGTGCTTGTGACTGTGTAGTACTGTGCCCTGAGGGTCACCACAGGCTCTTCCTCAAGGCCAGCAAGCCAGTTCAGGCAGAATGGAGCAGGTATGGGACAGCATGAAATCTTCAGGGTGCCTTCAAGCAGTTCATGACCCTCTGGAACTCCTGGCCTGTTCCCTAGGCTGGACATGAGGTTAGAGGTCAGGCCAGGTCCCAGAGAGGGATAAAATCCCTAGAGTAGGACCAGTCATGCTAGGGACCCTGAACAATTCTGAGGAGACACAGGCTTCTTGGGCTATGTCAGCTCCACCCAGAGGCGACTTGCAGTGAGAGACTTCAGGGAATAGGGGGCCAGGACACCACTACCAGGAAGGTCACTGGGTTCTTTAGGGGAGGGAGGGCACACAGGCCATGGGCCATGGAGGACTAGCACTCTTGGACCCTCACACTCCCCCCGGGTCTAGAAATGAGGGGCCCCCTCTGCAGCTAGAGAGGGGTGGCCACACACTTGCCCATCTGACCACTGAATCCCAGGATGCCACTGTCCCGGAGTTTGGAGCCCCTACAGTGCCTACCCTGGGGCAGAGGCAGAAGCAGGGGGCGGGGGCCAGGAGGGCCAAGTGCAGGGCAGATTGCCCTGGAAACCAGCTAAGGGTGGACCAGTAGGCAGTGAGAGGCCAGTCAGCATAGCTGGAGAGCACATTTATTGTTTAGGCATACATGGGAGCGAGCCGTGCTGGCTTGACACCTGAGGCTCTGACGGCTAGCTCTGCACCAGTGGCCTCAGCGCTGGACACAGGCCCAAGGCCATGCACCGGGGTGACCACCAGGGACTAAAGCCCTGGTGACTCACCCTTCATGTCCCCCACTCCTTGAGAAACATGCCCTAAGTCTTCCAGAGGTAGTGATAAAGGTGCCCTCTTTGGAGATTTTGGGAACTACTGTCCCCATGGAGGACCTCCTCCACAAGCCAAGGAAGGCCCAGGGTCGGTCACCAGAAGCAAATAACCATCATACTGGGCAATTCCTCTGCAGGTCAGGCTGCAGCATGACCCCAAAGATAACTCATAAAGGGCTCTGGCTGGGCCAGGGCTGCAGAATGATCCTCCTGGGGGTTGGTGGCAGGAGATCCTGCCCCTAGATGTGAGAATACCTGAGGCCTGGGTACCTGGAGGCCAGACAGCAGGGTCACCTCCCCAGCATCCTGGGTAAGCACAGTCCTCACAGCAACTGGAGAGGCAGAGATGGGCAGGGTAGGGCAGCATTCTCCAGGTCAGCTCCACCATGGCTTCCTGCCAAGCCCCAGGACCACCAGTGGCTCAGGGGTGGGATGGTCCCCAGCCCTATGAGACACTGCAAGCTCTGACCCTCCTCCACCCCTTTCTCCCATAGGTCCACCTGAGAAAGGAGTTAGACCCTGTCACTCCTTAGCCTCAACACCCAGGAGAACCTATGGCAGTGAGGTTTCACACTGACTACAAAAAGCAGTCAGACCAGATTCTGGGCTCGGCAGGGATGCGGGCAGAAGTACTCCTTCCACAGATGATGATAACGGCCAGCCCTTCTTGCCTGCCCCTTTGGCCACCCAGGAGGCCCCAAGCCCCGCCCCACCATCTGTTTCTAAACACAAACCCCAGCAGGCATCCACTGCCATAAAAGGTGGCCCCTGGCCTTCCTCTTGCCCCAGGATGCTCCCAGCTCCTTGGCGCTCCCCCCAGGACCTGTTAGCCTGGGGTCTTGGTGGCGAAAGTCAGGTAGCCTGTGTGGCCGACAGCCTCCTTCATGGGTGTGCCGCTGCGGAAGGGGCTGGCGTCAGGGTTGGCAGGAGTGCCTGTGCTGGCCTGTGGGTCGTTGGCTCCTAGGTCAGGCAGGGGCAGGCTGACAGTGCGCACATTGTAGACCTGTGGCAGCACCTCCAGGGTGCTCAGCTCCGTGAAGCCGCGGGCTGCCAGCGCCTGGCATGTGCGCTGCACCTGCTCAATGCATGGTGAGAAGGAGCAGAAACGCCCACCTGCAGGGAGCAGGAGGTGGGTCAGAGATTGGCCTAAGGCAGTCCGCAGAGCCTCTGAGCTCTCAGGCCACAGAGAATAGGGACCTCCTGGATAAAGAGCTGTGGGTGGACCTTGCAGAAGTCTAGCCCCCATCTGCTGGCCTGCCTTATGGCAGGGGCTATCCTGGAGCCTGGGAGCATGTGGAAGAAGCTACAGTCCACTGGTCCAGCTTGGCCACCACTCCAACCCCTCCTGTGCCTAGAAGCCAGGCCAAATCCACTGTCTGGATCTCACTGGCCTCCAGTGGGACTGCTTATTCTGCCTTCTAGGAGGCAGCCAAGGGCCAAGGCTGGGGTTGGGGTGGGGCCAGGCCAGCACAGCTGTCAGAGCTGGGCCAGGAATAGCTCCAACAATACGGCAGCACTGGGGCGGTACGTGGGCTGCTGCTGTCACAGGAAATTAGAGGCTGTCGCTGGCTCCTGGGAACAGGAGGTGCTTACCCTGAGGATAGATAGTCTGAGCTCTCCACCGCCTCCCACCAGGGCAGCCCATGGGTGTTGCCCAGCCCACCTGAAGTACGTGAGAGTCCATCCCAGGTCCCCATCCTGGCAGGGGGTCATGGGGAAGCTGAGGCAGGGAAGAGGTGTATCAAGCCCAGGCAGGTCTACAAACATACCATGGCTGGGTTCCCTCAGCCATACCCCTGCCACTGGGGGATCTGGGGATGGGCAATGTGCCTGCAGCTTGACACCAACCCATAGGCAATGTCACCTCTGAGGCAGAGTAGACTATATGCTTCCCTGCCTGGCACCACAAACAAGCCTGCCACTGAAATGGGGCTGGCAGTGCAGCTCAGTGGTGGAGGCTTCCTTAGCATATGAGGCCCTGGCTTCCATCCGAGCATTACAACAAAACAAAATAAACAAAACATACACCAGATCCATGAAAAAGTGAGCAGTTACAGGACCCAGAACCCACAGATCTAGGGCAGGGGCCAGGAGCTCAACAGGACATGGGAAGGGGTAACATACAGGCACCAGTGCCTCAGTGCTCCTCCTGAGGAAGGCCTCCCTGGGCCTGGGCCCTCCAGGGACCCCAAAGCAGAGGACCCCCACGTAGGCAGGGCCACACCATAGGGGGCAGGTGTGGGGATGCCAGGAGCCTGTGTACTCCCACAGGCTGCCCCTTCCTGAGGCCCAGGCCAGCTCAGCAGAGATCAGGGACACAGGGGTCCTAGGCCAAGCCTGAGCCAGCAGGAGGACCTTGGCCTGTGTCTTGGAGGCAGTGGCTGTCCAGCCCCCACCTTCTGCACTGCAGTCCTTAGCTGGGGGTGTGAGGGGAGTGGCCCTGGCTCCTGGCTAGCTCCTTTTCCAGAAAAGGCAAAATCCCTGGGACTCACCAGCCGCCTCCCTGGCTTGGGGCCCGACCTTCCTTCCCTAGCCTCCCTCAGGACTCCGCCTCCACACCGGCATCTTCCCTAAAAGGGGCCAGCTGCCTGGCTCTGTCTCATGGGGGAGGGTAGACTACAGGAAACAGCCGGACTGCCCAATGAGCCAGGCCCATCCTGTCATGCAGAGCCTGCCTGCACTCAGATGAGCTGCTAGAGTCCCCAGAGGTCTGTCATGTCCATTGCAAGAGTGGAGAGGGGCCTATCCTCCCCAACCTGATTCCTTAGCCAGGTCAAAAAGGAGCCCTTGCCTAGCCACTGCCACTACATGGCCTGGAGGTGTCTGCACCTTCCTGGGCTCCAGTTGACTCAGAGCTGAGGTGGCCCCAGCGCTCTACCCCAAACTCTTAGCCCCACAGGCTGCAGCCCTCCCAGAATCTCTTACACACCTTCAACCTTGAGGGCATCCCAGGCATGGCCCACAGCCTCCCAGGGTGATGGGATGTCCAAGAAGACAGCATCAGCCACGTGGCTCACACCAAAGCCACTGCGGCACACATCCTGGGTGCGCACTGTCACCCAGTGGCCCACTCGATGCTCCTGGAACTCCTCCCTGGCTTTGTCTGCCCGCTGCTGGTGAAACTCCACTGTGTGCAGGTGGCCTGTGGGGGCAATGCTGCGGATGATGGCATGGGACACAGAACCACTACCAGTGCCTGGCAAGACAAGACCAGACAGGTGTCAGGGGGTTGCTCAAAGCCCACAGCCACCCAGGAAACAGCTTCACGCTCACCTGGAGGGACCTACAGAGGGCCCAAGAGGTCAGCTGACCCCAGGGCCACTGAGGCTACAATAGATGGGCTATGTCTGTTTCAGGTACAGGTGAGGGCAATGACACCGCTACCCTGTCCCAGCAAGGTGTACGCCCAGGGCTGACAGAAAAAGGGTTCAGATACCATGGTGGCACCCTCAACCCACTGGCCTGTCCCATCTTCAGCCTTGGCACCTTCCACAAGTCGAGGGTTCTGTTAATAGCTGCCCAGCTCTTTGGCCCACTCAGGTCCATCCGACCCCAACCCTGCCCAAATCCATCCCATGTGGCTCTGCCCGAGCCTGCCCTGACCTTGGGTACATGGTACAGCAGTCAACCTACCCCGCAGCTCCGTTTTCCCCCCAAATCACCCGTCTCCCCAATTCCTCTCCAGCCTCCTTCATAGCTGCCCTCTGCTCAACTCTGTCCTGCAGGGCCTGTGCTGGTCTTCGGCCCACCACAGCTTCAAGTGCCTACTTGATGGCAACACATTGATTCCTGGTGTAGCACCCACTGCACGTGCTACCTCCCCCTCAACACACAGCCATATCAGCACTGATGTGCAAAGCTGGACCCCATCCAACCCCAGATCTATTCCCTGTGAGGCTTCTCAGACCCAGGCAACAACACCCATTGCTAGGGCCAGATACCATGGTGGCACCATCAACCCACTTCTCCCATCCCACATGAAAGTCACCAGGGACTCCTGCCACCTCCTTCCAAATCTCTCCAGAAGCTAGTCCCAACTTGCTATCCACATGTCTCACCTATGCCCCACTGCCCTCAGCTCTCTGCAACAGCTACCTTCAGTCCTATGTTGACACAGCCAGCAGCGTTTTTCTATAGTCATCCAGTTACCTCCCCTCTGCACAGTCAGTTGGGCTCCCCTCCCACTCAGGTGAAAGCCAGACTCCTGAAAATCCTCCGAGAGGTACCCCATTACCTCCCTAAGCTCACTCCCTGCCTCCAACCATACTAGCCTCCTTGCCAACTATCGCCTCAGGGGCATCTCCCACCTCAGGGCCTTTGCACAGTTCTCACTTGGCTCTTGGTAGTATCTCCTCATCATTTTTTTTCCTGGGTACTGGGCACTGAACTCAGGGGCACTGGACCACTGTGCCACATCCCCAGCCCTGTTTTGTATTTAGAGACAGGGTCTCACTGAGTTGCTTAGTGTCTTGCTTTTGCTGAGGCTGGCTTGGAACTTGTGATCCTCCTGCCTCAGCCTCCGGAGTCTCTGGGATTACAGGCGTGTACCACCGTGCCTGGTCTCATCATTTTTGACTCACTTATCCCCTCCTCAGAGAAATCTTCCAGGACTACTCTAGCCTGAGGGTTCCTCTAAGTTACCCTCAAACATGAGACCCTGTCTTACAAGCTTCCCCACAATCAACAGCTCTGAAGTGGTCTTACAGGCTCAATTTCCACCTTCTTATTTAAGGACAGGAAGCTGCAACCTCACAGAAGAGCAGAAGTATGTAGACTGACAAAATGGGATGAGCATATGAGAGGCTGATGCCTGGCTCAGGAAGCACAGGGAGAGCTGACAGAGTTGGCTCTGAATCCTGCTCCCCACGCCCCAGGCACCCCAGAGAGGTGCCTCAAAACACCAGCAGCAGAGATTCTTCCAGACCCTGAGTAGCATACCACCAGGAATACAGCTGCATCTGGGCCCAGGGTTGTTCTTGGCACATCTTGATCACGGCCCCAGGTGGTTCCAACATGTACATGCACATATACATAACAGCTCTCAATCACTCTATCACCCCCAGGCCCTGGCTCAGGGACAGTGGTGCCAGCCTTCACTGGAGGTAGGTAAATTCCTGGCTATAAATGAACACAGGGCAGGATCCCCACTACAATGAGATCCTGGAGTAGCCCCCATCTCCCTCCAAGAAGGGGCAACACTGTCTCTCTGGCAGCAAAAGGATAGCGATGGGCAGTCAGCACCTTGGTCAGCGCCAAGTAACACCAGCCCTGCCCCACCAAGACAAGCAGGACCCTCAAGGACACCAACACCTCCTGATCTTCCAGGTCCAGACCCCACCACTTCTCAATCCGATGACAACACAACCAAATAGGATTCCCTGCTTCTACCCTCACTCCCTGCAGTCTAAAGGGGCTGCTAAAATAAAATGATTAGCCATGCCTGTCCACACAAAGGGCAGGCTGCAGAATGTCCGGACCTTGGCTCTGACCTCTACCTCCCCATCAGTTTCTCAGAACTGAGGCAGCCTGAGGCACTCACCAGACTCGCAGACCACAGAGCCAGGCCGCAGCTCCAGCATCATAGTGAGCAGGGCGATGTCAGTGGAGTAGAGGATTTGTGTGCGATGTGGTAAGTTCAGCGTCCAGAGCTCAGGTGTGGGGTGAAGCACATACACCCAGCCACCTCGGCTGCAGATCACCTTGGAGCCAAAGGGACGGCCAATGAGGTCGACTGAATGCCGCAAGACACCGTGCCGGGTCTGGGTCTGTGCCCCACGCTGCACACGCACTGCCACCATTGAGCCATGACCCAGTGACAGGATGGCTGTGTCACCCTCTTTGATCAGCTCTTCATAGGCCACGAAGCTCATTGTGTTGATGTCTGCAAGTGCTAGACCTGGAGAGGGGAGTATGGGCATGAACAAAGGGCCAAGAGGCAGGATATGGACAAGCGGTCCGGACATAAGGCCTGTGAGACCCAAGTTCTGCGCAGTGAGATATGGGGGTGGTAAGTGGTCGGCTCAAGAGGGATGCACTGAGATCTGAGGCCCTTCTTGGTCTGGGGCACGAGAAGAGCCAAAAAGCGGGAGAAACTGAGGCTCAGCCATGGCCGGGACCCCAGGATTCCCAGAAGAAGGACCTGCCCTTCTCATCACCCTTCCCCGGGAGGAACCTGGCTCCATTCCCCCGCCGTGAGATGAGCTGGCGGCCTTTGCTAGGCATCCACCAGCCGGGGAGCGGAAAGCGACCGGTGGGGTAAAGCCTGGCCTGACTCCGAGCACCCCCTCCCCACACCCAGCAACCACAAGGCGGCTCGGGGCGCGAGGGGGAGGGCTCGCCAACCAGGCGCCGGAGCGGACGCGAGGAAGGAGTCTCACGCCGCGCGGAGCTCACCCGCCGCACCAGGTACCGGGCTCCACACGTGCGCCTGCGGCGCCCAGCTGCCGACACCGCACTTCCGGCGCCAGCGCGCGCGCGGATGACGTCGCGCCGCGTCCCCGCGCGCGGGACGCTGGGAGCGCCGCGCTGCCCTTCGCGCCCTCCCAAAGGACGTTTGCTGTGGCGTCTCCCCGGCGGCGGTCGCCCGTGCATACTTGCGCGTTGCCTAAGAGATCCGAGCACAGGACTAAATAAGTCCCCCTCCCCGCCAGCCGCCACCGCCGCGAGGCCTTTAGACTCGCCGCGTACCCGCGGCCCCTACAGGGGGACCTCCTGGATCTGGAGCGCCCTTGAGCAGCCCGTCATCCCCGGCGGCCCCACCCGGGCATGCCAGGAAACTGCCGCAGACATCTTGTCAAGGCCAACGACTCGGGAACACGTTGCCTGGGCCCCAAAGGCCTCCCAGCATGTGAATTTGCAGGGCAGAGAGGGTCCCCAAAGGCTTTGGCTAGGATCAGCCTGAAGTGCCTTATTAGGAGTCCGGTGGCCCCCGGCCAGACCCTGCAGACGCACATTCCTTTGAGGGGAAGGCTGCTCCAAGGAGGGAAAAGGGGTCCGAGTCCCCTCGTTAGACCCCAGACACCGTGAAGCTGGATGAACTGGGTTCCTTTGGGGACCTGAGCAGGGGGCTAGGGGAGGGAGGGCTGGAGGGCTGGGCAGAAAAGGGAAATGGGAGTGGTGTTCTGTCTCAGAAGTCAGAGCCGGTTCCTCTGGAACAGGGGCGCCTGGGAGGGCAGGCATGGAGTGTTTTACTCCAGCCCCCCCCTCCCAGGACCAGGCCTTATCCTGTTAGCCCCGGAGACTGGAGACCTCCCAGCCTACCCAGCTATGCTGGGAACCCAGACCAGCTGACTCTGGGCTACACTCCTCAGCCCACCGTCTACTCTATGCTGGCAAAAAGTGGATGGGTAGCCCCTGTAGAGTGGGCTGTTCCCTTCCCAAGAGTCCTGCCAGCCTGTGCAGCCTGTTGGGGACCGATGAACTCTCCTGAGGATGCACTAGGCCAAAGTGTGTGTGGCCTTTGCCATGACCCCTCAGAGTTGATGATAGAAGCACAGGTGCCTGACAGCACCTCATACCTCCACACCTCTGCCTTGGCTGGGCCTGGGTCTGAGGGCCCTGAGAGGTTAGATGGTAAGGGGTTTTCAGTAACTTCCCACTGTGGGCCCATGTCCCTCTGTGACAACCCAGCTCCATCAACTCTGCAGCCTCTGTTCCAAAGGACTGTCTCCCTCCCTTGAGGGAGGAACTACCCACTAATTGTTCCCCTGGGGGATTTAGACTTTCCACTTCTCCTGGGGGTTCCTCTTCCCCAGCCTCTCAGCTTTGGCTTGGAGAGAGGCCTGGTATGAGGCTGAATTAGGACTCTGACTCAGCGGTGGTTTCCCTCAGTCCCAACTTCCCACTTTCCTTTCTGTCCAGTACTGACTGGCCAGCTTCTCCAGTGCCCCCTCCTCTAGATAACCTCCCCAAAGGTGCCCATCTGTTCCATCAGGCTGCCCAGCCCTCAGCCTGAGCCCTTAAGCAAAACCAACTTTCCATAGGCCTCAGCAGATTGATCGCCAGGATGGGCCCCTTTCTCAGGGCAGAGTTTGTACACTGGAACTCGCCTAACAAGAACAGATGCTTATCTGTGTCCAGCTAAGTGTCAGTGCATTGAATCCTCCCCACAATCCTAGGCAGGGGGCACTTTACAGGTGGGGAAATAGACTTAGAGGTTAGATAATTTGGTTAAGGTCACATAGCCAAAGTGGTCAAAGTGAAATTGGGATTAAAGCCAGTATACCTAGCTTCAGATAACCAATGGCACATTTGAAGAAATGGAGGAACAGGCAGAGAGGAGTCCCTTAGGAAACTAAGGACGCCTTTGGGGAAAGTTGCTCCACCTGTACCCCTGGAGGTTGGAACCCTTTCCCCTAATCAGGATAACATCCTTCTGCTGTGTGTCCTGTCCTGTGGCCCCAGGGGAGCCCCTCCCTATCTCCTGAACCTAACCAACTTCCCCTTTGGGTTCTGCAGAGTTCATGGGCAAGAGCAGTAGGAGGAAGCGTGCCTGCTGCCATTACACCCTGGGTGCAGGCTTAAGGGTAGCCTCAGTTCTGGCCTGGAGCCTGACCCTTCCTGTCTCGCCTAGACCTGTCTGCGCCTGCGCTTGCCCAGGACTCCTTTGAGGCCCCTTCCAGGCCCTGTGGTTAATGTGTAACCAGGTGTGATTTCTGAGGAACTTGAACCATAAACTGGCAGAGTGATGTCACCCAAATTCTTGCCCAGACGCTGCCAAACCAGATTCTGTGGGCTCCAGGGATGGCAGAGGGTCTACATTGGAAGACTAGCCTGGATCAACAGAGTAGAGTTTTTCTGTCAAGGGGGAGGTCTAGGACCCTCCCCTTGCCCTCAGGCAGAGATCCCCACCAGGCAGGGGCTTCTTGGGAGGCCCATCCTGGCAATCAGCTGAGGCCTAGGGGAAGCAGGTTTTGCTTAAGGATTCCGTCTGAGGGCTGGGCAGCCTGGTGGAACAGATGGGCACCTCTGGGGAGGCTGCCAGGAGGACAGGGCATGGAAGCAGGCTGTCAAGGCTCTAAGCAGCTCCTGCCTGGTGGGGGCCTCAGCTGGACACTTGGGTCTGAGGGCCTCCAAAGGCCCTGCCCCCTTTCCTCCCTGGTGCTGCTTATGCCCCAACATAGCTTTCTGACACCCTGCCCAGGGAGTATGCCTGCATCCCAAGGGCAGGTGCCTAAGGATCATTGAGGAATGGCTGGACCTCTGACCCAGCACCTCTGTCACCAGACTGCCAGACTTCCTTTGTGTATCTGGAGAAAGGGGCCCCAAACACCTGTCTTTGAAGGCTGAGGCCTGCCCAGGCCCCGGGCAGGAGCACCATCCTGGAGTGATCTAAGGGTAGGTAACCCTGCAGCCCTACCCTCTGGACCTTGCCTCTGCCATCCTGACCTTGCCAGTAGAGAGAGGGGGAAAATAGTCCTTTCCCTGGGGGGGGGGGGGGGGGGGGGGGGGGGGGACTTGGGAGGGCGGCAAGGGCTAGGGACAAAGAGCAAGCCCACCCCCCCCACCTGCCCCCGAAATGCCCCCCACCCCCAGATGCCAAATCTGTCTTCTCTATGTTTCTACAGAAACTTGAGCACTTCAAGCCTTTGGGGCTAGAGACTGGGGAAGTTGCAGATATTCTAAATTTGGGGGAAGGGGCTGTAGGGAGTGCAAAATGCAGGGATTCCAGGATTAAGGGACACCTGCCGTCTGGCCAGCTGGATGAGCCACTTGTTTTTTTACATTGGTTTGTTTTATTGGTCTAAGACATGCTGACTTGGAGGTTGAAGTAGGCCAAGGTGAGTGAGGAAAGAGGCAGAGTCCCCTTGGCAGTAGCCGAAGGGACAGGACGCTGGGCAGCCCATACCCTTCCATGCTAACACAGCAGAGGGTAACATGCTTCTTATCCTTTGGGTCTTTGCCCTAGTGCCCTCTTCTTAGAGGCACCAGCACAGTGTTCCCTAAGCTAGGATTCCTGTCCCCTCAGGGCCCTGCCCACTAGAGGCAATGTCCTACCGTTATTTAATTCACTTGGACACTTGCTCATGCCATCTCCCTCCAGCAGCTGGGCTGGGGTCCTTTTCCCCCTTGATTTCCTTCATGTCCCTAGAGCCTGGTGCCTGGGAGGAACACCCTGTATAATGGCTGGAGGGATTCTTTAGAATATTAGCAGGGATGAAGGTTCTCTTCTCCATGCTTTGTTCACCCACACTTGAGAGGCTGTGGATGAAGTTAACCACTAGCTTCATTCTCTCTTTTAAATGGCTGCATAATGTTCCACAACAGGGAGATAGCTTTCTATTCATGGCCAGACCCCCAGTGATTGGCAAGTGACCGTTTCTTTCTGGATTTGCCTATTGTTGTTTTTTCCAGTACACATCTCTTTGTCTATTTGCAGAGAGAATGGACACTGTTCTTTCTATAGGCTGGATTCCTAGAAGTGGGATTGCTGGGTCAAGGAGTTTGAACATTTTTAATTTTAATAGATATGCCAAATTACTTTCCAAAAAAGGATGTAGCAACTCAGCTGCAGGCAGGGTGTGAATGCCTGTCTCCACACATTCCAACTCTGCTCTACTGGCAGGGGTCAGTCTTCTAAATTCTTGCCAATCTGAGTGTGTGGGGTGGGGGAAGATATATCATCTCAGTTTTAATTTGCATGAGTCTGATTAGTGAGATAATTTTTAAAATGTCACATGTACTTATTGATGACGTTTTTTCCCATCTTTGCCTAGTGTCTCAGGGCTACCTTTGAGGCTGAGGTTTGTAGGAATCTACCCCTCGATGAAGAGGGTCCTGGGGTTCGGTTCTGGAAACTCACCAGCATTCTCTCAAGACATAGTGTCCTTTATCTATCAGAAGGAGTTTGGCCCAAGGGTCTGCAGCTCGATTCTCTGGGAGCCCTGAGACATGTCCAAGGTCAGGGCATCGCTTGTGCAGCTCAGCTGGGCCACAGCCAGACTGCACCTCCCTCTGCACCAAGAACACCCAGGAGATGCCTCGGGCACCTTGAGGAAGGTCGGAGTCTCCTGGCCAGCTCTGGGTTGGGGTAGGGGATCTGCTGCAGGACCCTGGATTCTTTCGCCGGACCACTGGCCGCAGCCACCCACTGGGGGATTGGCAGGACAATGGAAGACAGGAACCGGGGTGAGCGTGAGCCCGAGCGTCCTCAAGTGCCTGGTGGCTTTCCAGACTCAGTTTCCCACCCGCAGGCACTGTGTAGGAGATTTTGGGTGTGTTTCAGAAAGTCCAAGGGCCTGTGGTTCCAGTTTCTGTGTCCTGGGCGGGCGCTTGGCTGGGTGGCCTGGCTGCGCGGGGTCCCCGCGACTTCGTGCTGTGGTGGGAGGCTTGGGGACTTCGGGGGCTACCCGGCGACGGACAAAGCGGAGGCACCACCCCGAAGCACGGGCCAATGGAATGAATGGGCTATAAATAGCGGCCAATGGGCGGCCCGCAACGCGCCCCTTAAGAGCCCCGGGAGCGCCGAGCGGCCGCTGTTCGCCTGCGCCGCACTCGGAGCTGCTGACTGACTGAGCGCTCCCGCCCCTCCAGGCCGCCCGGTGAGCGGGCCCGAGGGCTGGGGGTGGCCGCACCGGGTGTGGGGCGGGGACGCTACAAGGAGGGGTGCGGGACCGCGGCGTCACGCGCGGGGCGCGCCTCCTGGAGCGCGCACTGGACCAACCGGGGTCCTGGGCTACGCGGGGGTCCCCTCCCCCGCGCGCCGCAGACCCCTCTGACCTTGGCTGCGTCCCCGGAGCACCGTGGAGCCCTGAGCGGTCTGCTTGACCCTGGAGGTCGGGTGCACCGGGCCCCGCTGACCCGCGCTTCCCCGCAGCCCGCCGCCGCCGCCGTCATGCCCTTCTCCAATGGCCACAATGCGTTGAAGCTGCGCTTCCCTGCCGAGGATGAGTTCCCCGACCTGAGCGTCCACAACAACCACATGGCCAAAGTGCTGACCCCCGAGCTGTACGCAGAGCTGCGCGCCAAGAGCACGCCAAGCGGCTTCACGCTGGACGACGTCATTCAGACTGGCGTGGACAACCCGGGTACGCGCATCTCTTATCGTGGTCAGACTTGCAGAGTCCCCCCCCCCCAAAGACCCCCTTGTGGTCAGGGCTCTCCGCCCTTTCCCTACCTTCTCCCGGGCCGGGGTCCCGGCGCCCCCTGCCCGCGTACAGCCACAGGGTCCTCAGGAGCCCTCTCCAGCCTGGCGGTGACGTCACTGTCCCCCGCACCCCTCCCCCAGGCCACCCGTACATCATGACCGTGGGCTGCGTGGCGGGCGACGAGGAGTCGTACGAGGTGTTCAAGGCACTTTTCGACCCCATAATCGAGGACCGGCACGGCGGCTACCAGCCCAGCGATGAACACAAGACCGACCTAAACCCGGACAACCTGCAGGTGTGGGGCGGCCGGGGGCCGGGCGGCCGGGGGAGGGTCTCCCGCCGCTCACTCCCTTCCCATTCTGCCGCGTGCCCAGGGCGGCGATGACCTGGACCCCAACTACGTGCTGAGCTCGCGGGTGCGCACGGGCCGCAGCATCCGCGGCTTCTGCCTTCCCCCGCACTGCAGCCGCGGGGAGCGCCGGGCCATCGAGAAGCTCGCGGTGGAAGGTAGCGGTCGGGGCGGGCCGGAGCGCGGGTCCCCGTCCGGGTCTCCGCTGGGCTTGTTTACCAGCCAGCCGAGCTGCTGCGCTCTTATTTGCGCGCGCCTGGGTCCAGTTTCCCCAAGAGACCCAGGGACCAAGGCCCAGACCAGCGCCCCAGCGGCCTGAGGCCCAGGGAGGGCGGGTCCTGGCCCTCGGTCCCCGCCAGGGACCGCTGCCTGCTATGCTCTGGCGCCCCCTCAGGGGCGGGCGCCGGAGACGGGGGAGGGGCATGCAGCACGGGGCTGGGGGCCCGGAGAGGTGGGGCTGTCAAGCCCCCGGATGTCCTGAGCGCGCCCCTCCGCAGCCCTGTCGAGCCTAGACGGCGACCTGGCGGGCAGGTACTACGCGCTCAAGAGCATGACCGAGGCGGAGCAGCAGCAACTCATCGACGACCACTTCCTCTTCGACAAGCCGGTGTCGCCCCTGCTGCTGGCCTCGGGCATGGCCCGCGACTGGCCGGACGCCCGCGGCATCTGGTACGAGACCCCTTCCTCCTCCCGCGGATTCCTTGCCTCCCCCCGCCCCCCTCCCCCCTGCGGATTCCCCCCCCCCCCCCCCCCCCCCCCCCCCCCGGGCCCCCCCCCTCCCCCCCCTCCCTCCTCCCCTCCCCCCCCCGCAGAGGTGGGGCTCTCTGGGCAAAGCAGGAAGAGGGAGGGGCGGAGCTCCTGGTCCTTGTGGTGCCGCCCCAGACCTGAGCGCAGGTGACCTTGGCCGCGCAGGTGTGTGAAGGGCCCAGGCTGCTAGAGGCCTCAGTCTCCGGAGATTTTCAGGGTGGGGACGGGTCTCGTTGGCGTCTCTCCTCCACCGTCTTGGGAGCCAGAGCTTCTTGTTTTCTTCTTTCTCACCCTCTCCCCCGCCGGGATTCTGCCAGGTGCTTGTGACGCAGAAGCCTCCACAGGAGTCTTGGCAGGGCTCCTACCCCGCTGTCTGCGCGATGTCTGCGCAGGCCGGGCGCTGCGTGGAGCTGGCTTACCCCTGGTGGGCTGGCCTGGCTGCCCCTGCCCCTTGCTTCTTAGGTGGGGAACTGTCCTCATAAGAAGGGATCAGCACTTGACTGACAGGTTGGGGCACACTCTGTGAGATGTCCTGTGGCCCTGCCATCCTCTAGTGTTGTTGGGGCTGGGGTCTGGGCAGCCCACATTCCCCGGCATAGCTGGAAAGAGCACCTAAAGACTTTGAAGTTCTTTTTGTCTGAGGAAGCCAGGAAGGTTTTTCTGGTTGTCTCGAGACCACCAGCCTTGGCCTGACTGTGCCTTCTCCCAGGCACAATGACAATAAGACTTTCCTGGTGTGGATCAATGAGGAGGACCACCTGAGGGTCATCTCCATGCAGAAGGGGGGCAACATGAAGGAGGTGTTCACTCGCTTCTGCACTGGCCTCACCCAGGTCAGGCCTGGCTGCCTCCACCCTGGGCCTGCATGCTGGGTGGGGGCCTGGGGCTTGGTGCCAGGGAGGAGGCAGGCTGGGATGTGACTCCCCCACGGAAAACCCAGGTCTCCTAGGGCTCCAGCCCCACCTGCGCTGGTCCCTGGGGGCTCTCTGTCTGGCCTCCCCTCCCATGTCCCCTTCCTTCTCCACCTCCAGATTGAAACTCTCTTCAAGTCCAAGAACTACGAGTTCATGTGGAACCCTCACCTGGGCTACATCCTTACCTGCCCTTCCAACCTGGGCACAGGGCTGAGGGCAGGTGTGCACATCAAGCTGCCCCACCTGGGCAAGCACGAGAAGTTCTCTGAGGTGCTCAAGCGGCTTCGGCTTCAGAAGCGGGGCACAGGTGAGGGGCAGGTGTCACAGGCATCCATCCCTCCTAGCAGACATCTTTTTCTGCCTTGCTGACCTGGCTGTCTCCCCATCCCCAGGTGGTGTGGACACGGCTGCTGTGGGCGGGGTTTTTGACGTCTCCAATGCAGACCGCCTGGGCTTCTCCGAGGTAGAGCTGGTGCAGATGGTGGTGGATGGAGTGAAGCTGCTCATTGAGATGGAGCAGCGGCTGGAGCAGGGCCAGGCCATTGACGACCTCATGCCTGCCCAGAAGTGAAGCCTGGCCCACGCCACCACCAGCCTGCTGCTTCCTAACTTATTGCCCCTGGCAGTGCCCGCCATGCACCCCTGATGTTCACCACCTGGCGGCTGAGCCCTTAGCCCCTCTGTAGAGACTTTTCTGTCGCCCTGGGTAGAGTTTATTTTTTTGATGGCTGAGCTGTTGCTGATGCTGAAATAAACTAGGGTTTTGACCTGCCCTGCCTCGAGTCCTGCCTCTTGTTTCCCTGGGAAGCCAGTGGTTGGGGTCTGAGGCCCAGTTGCCTTTTCTGCTTCATCTTCTGAAGGCAGGACTGGAGCTTGCTCCTCCTTGGATCCCTCTTTGCCCTCCCCTTGGCTTCTGCGGGAGGGTGGGGGTGGAGTGGGGGAGAAGAAGGGAGGAGCTGCCAGGCAGGAGCCTCAGACTGAGCATCTAAGGGCATGTGTGCCTGGGGGTGGAGCCTGGCACTTTCCTCAGCCCCATTCTGGGAGGGGGGTAGGGGTATGATGACTGGCAGGAGTCCAGAAACTTGATACATTTCCAGTCCCTCCCTGTTCCATCTCTTCTCCTAGCAGTCTTGGGATCCAGGCATCTCCTTGCCTCTACCCCCAACACCTACTCCATTTCCTAAATAAACTTCCATCCTGCTTCCTTCCCTCTCAGCCTTCCCCCTCAGGCTGGACTGCCCCCTTCCTGCAGGCAGGTCCAGTTCTCTGGCCCCTTCCCAGCACCGTGTCCCTTGGATTCTGTGCCCTTCACTTGCACCTCCACTGCAGGGCCCTCCTGGTAAGCACTCAGTCCCTTGGCCTCCATGGCAGGTCCCATAATGCAATAGGACACTGGAGCAAGAAGGCCCTGGGCTATCAAGGGCAAGATCTCCCTGAACCATGTTTTCACAATCTCTGGTTCTGGTGACTTGTGGTTGGACACCCTGAGGGCTTGGTCAGGGTCTGGGGCTTAGAGGCTGCCAATGGCAGCCAGGGTTGGGACCCCTGTCCCCTATCCCCTCCAGTGCCTCCTTTCTGACTAGTCTGTGATGCCACCTGCTGGCCAGGGCCTCCTCACACCCCGGGAGCAGGGGGCACCCCTACCCCTACCCCATGTTCTTGAGCCTTGTGGGCTCACAAGCCCCATGTCCATCTTTCCTGGCCCACTGGACTGTGGTTTAAGCCTGCCTCTCATCCTGGGGCACAGGGGCATGTAGACCCAGAACTTGGGCTGACCAGCAGGTTTGTGGTTGGCGGGCAGTAGTGGGGTATATACACTGCAGGGGACTTCCTGGCACCCATCTCCACTACCAGTGTCCAGTGAGAGGTCCCTTCAGGTGGTGTTGGGCTGAGGAGGAAAGGGGCATGGGCCCAGATAATGGACTTTGTGTCTGGGGGGCCCTCAGGGCTAGACTTAGAGGGGCATCCCTTTTACTGAGAGAACACCTGGGGGGGGGGGCGCTGGGCACCTGGGGGATCTCTGCATCCATCCTTTAGACCCTAGGCTGGCACCCCCACCCTCCCTGGGAGTCCAGGCCTGTTCCCAGCTTGCCCTTTTGCTAGGAAGTCCCTGGACCAGACCTGGATGGACACTGCCTCTCTTCTTCCGGCCAGGGGACTGCTGGGCTAGGCCACATTGTGGACTTCTGTCTGGTGACTCAGGGAAAAAGGGTTGCGACAAGAGTTAGCCCCAAGAGCCAACCCAGGTGAGCCTAGTCCCTCTGGAGGGGAGCTGTGGGCAGGGAGGGTGGAAAGCTGGCACAGTAGGAATATGGCTCTCCTGTCTTGCTGTCCCTGCCACACAAGGCTACCTGTGAACCACAATGGGTGGCACTGTCAGAAGGACAGAAGGGGTGGGGGTGTGGGCTGGGGTGGGGGGATGGCGCCTCTGCAGTGAGATGAAGGCTTCCTGGCTGCCTGTCACAGGAGGCCGCGCCCACACTGCCCTCCCACCTGCGACCACCCTTCCCCACACCCTGGACTTTGGGACCCAGTGGAGAGTGAAAGGCCCTCCTGCTGCCTCAGCACTGGGGTGGTGCAGACCCCACCCTGACCAAGGTGGGCACAGCACCAAGGGGCCTGGCCAGGCAGGCCTGGCACTTCATGGCGGATGCTGTCAGGCGGGGAGTCCTGGGAACACAAGGTGCAGGAGCTGGATCCTCCAGCCCCCATCCCCCCAGCGGCCTTGGCCATTCCCAGGCAGTGAGAGCAGGAGGCCCAGCCTGCATTCCCTGACTGGTTGGGCAGGTGCAGAGCCCCTGCTTGCTGGGAAGCCAGGGCGGGGCCTGGGGAGACTGCCACTCCCGGGCACAAGGGAGGTGTTTTCTCTGGAAGTTCTCCTTTGCCTCCCTTTTGTTTCTTTTTTTTACTTTGCTGCGTTAATGTTTGGGACAAGCCCCAACACACCTCTGTCAGGGAGCTTTGGTCCCACTGCTCCAGGGGACTCCCTCACACCCCCTTCCTTCCTCTATTCCAGAGGGCTGAGTGGGTATGGTCAAGTCTCCTTCAGCACCGGCACCTGCAACGCCAGGAATTTGGCATTGGTTTGGAGTGATCCCACACAGGTTCTGTGGTGGAGGTGTCCTGCATGAGCACGACAGGCCAGAAGTCTTACCCACACCTGGGGACCCTCTGGATGTTTGTAGACATTGACATTTGAGTACCGTGGCCAAAGAAATAATAGGAAATGCGATTACTAAGAACAGGGAAGAATGGGTCAGCATTCTGTGTCAACAACAAGGGTGGCAACTCTGCTGTCCAGGGGGCCCAGGCAGACATCGCACCCGTGTAGAGAAGTCAGGGAGGTGTTGGCAGACGGGGACAGAGGCCAGTGAAAGCAGGTTATAAAACAGCTCGTGCCCTGAGATCCCACACAGAGTATGTGGAAAAACCCCGCGACAGTTGTCGGCTGTGGGTGGTGGGGTAACAGGTGATTTCCTTCTTTATACTTCAGTTTCCAAATTTTCTACAGTGAACATGTATTCCTTATATAAGCCAAGATAAAATTTTCTTTGGCAGAGCTGGGGACTGAACCCAGGGCCTTGTGCATGCTAACCAAGTGCTCTGCCACTGAGCTCCACCCCCAGCCCTCAAAATAGATTCTAAAATGGTATTTAAAAAAAAAAATAGTTGCCATGTGTCACAGCCCATGAGAGCTTACTGAGGCAGCAGCCACAGGACTTCACTATGCCCCCAGCCGGGGAGACTGAAGCTCAGAGAGGAGAAAAGACTGGCTCTGGGTCCTCAGTGAGACATCTGGCTCCAAGTCCTGGGCTCATTTTGCTGCTCTATGACTTTTGAACATTCCAGACTTCTCATGGGTGGGACCGCTTCTCCTAACAGCAGCTTGGAAGGCTGCAATTGCCTGGTCTGCTCCTCATTCTGCTCTTCTATTTCTGGGCCAGCCTGGTACTTACCATGTCTCCTAGAGTGCCCTGAGGGGGTGGGTGTGTACTCACACGCACTCCAACTGCATTTCCATCCACAGGTAAAAAGGAAACAATCTTCTGATGGATAGCAAGTCCTCCTCAGGCTGTGGGGTTTCTAACTCCCGGGAGGGCATTTCAGCTTAGAGAACAGGGCTTTTTACCTGTGGCCCAGACACCAAAGTACTGGTTTGCAAGTGTGGCTCTATGGTCACAGTGACTGGCCTGTGCACCTCCTCCCCACGTCTTGGCCCTGCATACCGGGCTCTGCCTTGCTGAAGGGAGGACAAGAGGAGGAGGAGGAGGTCTTGCCTGGGTCCAGACGTGCTGACCACCACCCAAAACTTAACCCGAAGACCCAGCCAGACAGGGTCAAATTATGACTATCAGCAACTCACTCTTCTGGCACTGTTGGCTGATGTTCTGTGGCCACTCTGCCCTCTGCATTAGTCACAAAGCCCTAGTGCTTAGCCACCCTCGTTCCCCACACCTGGCCAGGTGGTGAAACCTCCCAACGGCCTGAGAATTAGGATGAGGGGGTATTATGAGCAGCAGGGTGCCCTGCCTGGTGGAACTCACAAGATGCCTGCACCACTCCTGGGGGGGTGAGGGACTGGGGCTGTGATCCTGCTCTGCCACTGGGAAGAGTGGGGCCTAGTTCTGGATCCTGTAGGGCAGGGAGGGGAATCTGTCAGGAATTTAGATGGAGCAGAGACCCTGGCTCCAGAAGCACAGGCTGCTCAGCATGGCTCTGGAGTCCCAGCCCAGCCCATCCCCTTGCAGGATGGCTTGGATGGCTGATGGCTCCAAGGTCAGGCTTGGTTTCCTTGGCCTTGTGTCTAACCTGGGCAGGACTCCATGTCAGCTCTCTCCTTCCCACAATCTGCCCAAAAGCCCTCCGGGAAATACTGCCCTGTTTGCCCCAAGCTCGCTGTCCTTGAGCTGTGTGCACTGTCAATTCTTCCTGCTTTTGAGACACTCTTACACTGCTGACCTCAGTTGGGCAGGAATTAGGTCCTCCTTCACTGCCCTGGCCTACCAAACTAAACTGCACCCATCATTGGTACAGGTGGTTGGTGTCAGCACTGCCAAAGTTTGTCTGCAAAATATGACTTACAGCAAATCCAAACCAACCCTTGCACACCTGCAGCCCTGGCTACTTAGGAGGCTGAGGCAGGAGACTGCAAATTCCAGGCAAGAATGGGCAACACAGGGAGACTGTCCCAAAACAAAAAAATAAAAAGGGTCAGGGATGTAGCTCAAGGGTAAAGGACTTGCCTAGCATGTGTAAGGTACTGGGTTCCATCCCCAGCACCACAAAAACTAACAAAAGTGAAGTCTAAAGTCTAGTTTTGTTCATACTTTTTTTTTTTTTGTACTGGGAACTGAACTTGGGGGTATTCGACCACTGAGCCACAGCCCCAGTCCTATTTTTGTATTTTATTTAGAGACAGGGTCTCACTGAGTTCCTTAGTGCCTCACTTTTTGCTGAGGCTGGCTTTGAACTCGAGATCCTCCTGCCTCAGCCTCCTGAGTTACTGGGATTACAGGTGTGAGCCTGGCAGCTCCTTAGTACTTTTGACTCATCAACTGCCCCAAACATTGAATCACACTTCAGATGCTTGACTCTCTCAGGAAGAAAGAACGTGGGGTCTCATCCAGACCTGAAGCGCTGGCTTGACAGGGACCAGCTAAGCAACTGCCCCAAAGTCACAGCAACAAGGGTCCATCTTGGAACAGCAGGAGGGGCCAGAGGTTAGCCTCTCTCCTGGAGACCAGGAAGGAGGAACAAGGCGCTAACTGCTTTCCTTTGTTCCCCTGGACTGGTGGAGGATTATATACAGGACTTTGTTTTTTCACCAAAGTTGGAGTTTGGTTCACCTGTAAGACACACCCTCCATAAACACTGGGACAAGGGATGGGCAGTGTGGCTGTCCTGAACCACAGGAACTCCCAGCACTCTGACAGGCGTGCACCTCCTCCCCATGTCTTAGTCCTCCAAAGTGCACAGAATGAGCGAGGATCCAGGCACACAGGGCAGTGGGCAGCAGGCTGGGGCTGAGGCCTGGGCCCAAGGAGGGAGGGGAGCAGGGTGAGGGAGCCCGGAGTGCACAGCCCAGGACGCGGTGCTGTGTCTGCAGGCATGACTGCACATGCTCCTTCCCAGCTCAGTTCTATGCAGAACTTGGCTGCTGGGAGAATGAGCTCGCACCACCCACATGGGCAGCAGCTCCCTTGAGGAGGGGGGGATGAGGCACGCCCCTGCAGCCCCTGCTCCAGGAGGTGCCGTGGTACAGGTGAGACCCAGGACCCACCTATTCCATGCTGCGGGGTCTGTCCTGTACTGGCAGGGCCACAGCCCTGCTCCCTAGATGTTGGGTCGCTTCCTGGTGAGGTAATGGGGACTGAAGCCCCTAGCAGGAGTGCACTGTCTCGAACACGCTCTGTTGGGATGGCGACAAGATGGAGCTGCCTGGGAACTCAAGGTGTCACTGCCCACACAGCCCAAGTGGGACATGAGACAGGCCCTTGGCACTGCCTTCCACCTGCTGTTCCTGCCCTATCCACTGTGCACCTGTCTCCTCTCCCCTGACCCCACCTAGCAGGCCTCCCCCACAGCCCCCTGCTGCCCATGGCGCTCTGTGTTTCTCTGCCTTGGGTGACCGGGTGTCTCAATGACAGGGTTTTATACCTTGTTTATTTTTGTACTCCTAGCCAGCACAGGGTCCTCCAGAGTAGCAGTTAGCTTGGAGAAACTAAATTTCAGGGAGGGAATGAGCATCTTATTTTGGATCCTGGGATCAAACGCAGAGCCTCCTGCATGTTGGGCAAGCACTTCCCACTGAGCCCCGACCCAGCCTCAAGGAGCACAATTTAACCTTCAAATACCTTAACCTCGACCAGTTAAAACCCCCAAGATCAGAAGACCCCCAGGGTAGTCCAGGAAGTGCATGCTTCAGGAAAATGCAGAAGCAGCCCAACTTCCCAGGTCCCTGGGGTGCTGCTGAGTACCAAATAAGCTAAAGAGGGGCAACTGGAGACTTCCCTTCTGCTTGGGGGTGGGTCTGGAAGGCTGACTTAAAAACTCCTGGGTGGGTTCAGAGGATGGGGTATGAAGTAACAGGAAGTTGCAAAAGGCAGGGGTTTCTCACGGTCAAGGATCATGTGACTTTCCTTTTCCATAAGTCTCAATCTGGTTCACTGACACCCCTCGATTCTTCTACTCACTGGGTAAGAAGACATTTATTTCCCCACAGCTGGGATCCATTGGTATGAACACCCAGGCTGCTGGAAGCTTTGCTAACCAAGCACTTAAGGTAGGCCACAGTCAAGTCAGCAGAGCATCCAGCCAGGCTGACATCCACGTCCCAAGGTGAACCTCAGGGCCAACTTTCTGGTCTCTGGCAGGTGGTGGGAGGCATGCACAGGCTCCCCGGCATAGCTTGGTTTATCCGAGAAAGCACTCAGAAGCAAGGCCACTGCGGGAGACCGCGGCCTATTGGGCCCAAAGAGGCTGGCTGCTATTCTATTCTTGGGTTGAAATCCAAACGCCACATGACAGTGACCCTCTGCAGTATGGGGCATAGACTAAAATGCTAAGCCAAATGTTCTTAACCCCCAGAGGACTGCTGATGGCAAATGTCATCCCAAGGCAGGATCAACTACTCTATATCCACAGAAGTCACCGTTGGGACTTGGGTGGTGTGACTGACCTGGGTGGAAGGACTGTGGGCATCAGCGATACTGGCAGCTGGATGTACCCTGCTTAGTTCCTGTCCCGGCCTCAAGGCCTCAGCCTGTTGCCAGACAGGAAGGGCTGGTGGAGATGGTGGCTGGGCCAGAAGCCAGACCTAATCCCCCACAGCTGCTGCCTGTTGGCGGCAGGGTCAGCTCTGACTGCCAGTCACCAAAGCTGTCCTGTGCTCTCCAGATATCTCCTGGGCCTCGAGAAGACTTCTGCAAACACAGTTGCTCATTTTGCACTCAGGGCCGGGGTGCTACTCGAGGTACTCAGGATACAGAAGAGCTGAAGACCTGCCTCCCAGGGCTTCCTGACCCTGTGTTAGCCAGGGCTGGGGAGGGCGGTAGGCAGTCTCTAAGTTTACAAACAAAGGTGACTGCTTGTGGAAGCAAAGCAGCAGACAGCCCAGTCCTGATAGCAGGTTCAGACAGCAGGACTGTCCACCTCAGACACAGGGACATTCCTCATCAAGACTCCTCTCTGGCAGTCTTCCCTTGAAAGCCACGAGTGTGCTGCTCAAGACCTCAGTGCCTTGGTTGGGCTAGGAGGGAAGAGGTTGGCATGGGTCCCTGTTTCATGATCCGTGCAGTAGGAGATACTGTGGGAGCCTACTACCATCTGCCAGGAGCTCTGCACAGCACATGCCACCTGCCTGGTGGACTGCCCAGCGGCCCTGGGTCAAATGTGATTAGTGTCATCCTGACTTTTAGAGCTGTACCTAGGGGGTTTCACTCACGTAGGTGGTCTCCAAGTGGGCATCAGGAAGCCAGGCTACCAAGGCCCATGGCACACACCCCAATCACTAGGCCATTCTAATTCATTTGACTTTTGTGGTACCCGGGACTGAACCCAGGGGCCTTAAACCAATTCACTTTAACGGGGTGAAGCATGTTAGTAGTGGTCCTGCCGCAGAATGGAATCACTGTCTGTGGCTTTCCTGCCACCCAGACCTAGCCACAGCAGCTGAGCAGAGAGGCATGATGCCTCTGCTGGGCTGGGTCTCACCTCCTGTCAAGAGTGCCTTCCTGCTTTGAATTCACAGTGGCATCTGTGCAACATCCACTTTGCTGTCTCTTTTTTTAAATTGATATTTTTTTTAATAGCAGATGGACATAATACCTTTATTTTATTTTTATGTGGTGCTGAGGATCGAACCTAGTACCTCATGTGGTTTAGACAAGCGCTCCACCAACTATGCTACAGCCCCAGCCCCTCTGGTTTCCCTTCTGCCTCAAGCCGCCCTGAACACCTGCCTCCTCCCAGTAGTCCTCTGCATATTCCCAGGAAGCGCAACAACTTCCCCCACTTAAAGGTGGGCCCTGTGGTCTAAGGGACTCTGGCTTGTCAAACTGTAAAACCAACAACTGACAGACAAAAGACACTAAAAAAAATGACAAGAGCAGCATATTGCGAGCCCTTCCTCCAGTCTGAAATGGACCAGTCTGAAATTCGAGCTTGTGGGCCGCCAAGGGTCACTGTGTGGCCATTCACTAGGCAGCAACAGCCCAGGGCGAATTCCACAGCCATGGTCACTATTCACACACTCCCCATGGAGACTTCACGCTGCTATCCACACCTTCTGGGCTTCTAGGCACAGGCTTTGAATGCTCACAGCAAGGGCCCCTCAGGTTTGCCTCAGGGTTCTGCCATCACCCCTAGTGGTGAGAGGAAGAGGCCCTAGAGCCCCACTTCACCCCCTTGCAGGAAAGCCGTTTTGGCTCCTCTGGCTCACCTCACCTGGAGGGGAAGTCTGCATTCACTGGCCAGTGAGCACTGTTCTCAGGACTAGGACAGCACTCTGCTTGCTGGGTTAACAGAATCAGGACTATGGCTTGCTAGGTACCTTACTGCTGAGATTCCAGGGGAGAGGTCAACAAAGAAATATGGCATCGTCTAAGTCTCAAATGACTTTAATTTATTCAAGAATATTCTCTTGGGGCTGGGGTTGTGCCAGTGGTGGGAGCCACTGGGTTCAATCCTTAGCACCACATAAAAAATAAAGCTATTGTGTCCATCTACAACTAAAAATATATTTTAAAAAATAAAATGCCATATTCTGATGTGCAATCTTAAGGCAAGCCTGGGCTCCTCGGTGATGCCAAAGGTGAAGGCCATAACCACCGTTAAAATCACACCAACACCAACTGGTAACAGACTTCAAGCAAGCTACAGACAGCCGAGGACTCCTCATGTGAGCAGCAACATACTGAAATGCAGCCACAAGGACAAGCAACCAAAGGCCGTGGAACATCTGCGTGCATGTGAGGAGGGGACACTTCACCAAGGGCACATGGTGAGCACACTTCCTTCAAGTCTAGCTTCCAGTGTTCCACTGGCCCTGTGAATGGTAAGATGAAAACCATTCTAAACAAGCCCATTTCCACAAGTGTCCGTAGGGTGACTGCAGTATTTTGGGGGGCCAGCCCCACAGTGCTGGATTTCAGAGTGGCTCAGAAGCCTCTGCCCTGAGGACGTGATTTATGGCTGCCTGCCCAGAGGAAGGATAGTGACCAAGAGAGACTGCAGGGGGTGCACACTGCCGGTAGACCTCCCAAAGAGGCCCTGTGTACCTGGACAGCACCCTGTCCTCTTGTCCACTAAGTCAGTAGAATATAAACATAGCACCAGGCCATGGTGGATAGTCCGTGGGTCAGAGCACTGAGCTGCTGCTTAACTTTACTGTAAAAGAGCAACTCTGGGGAGGGGCTTGGCATTCTCCATTAAGCAGGCTAGATAGTTCTGGAGACACGACACATTTGACCACTAGGTCATGGGTGAGTGGCTGGCCGGTTCAGCTTCTTCTTCCCATCGACCTTCAGAGGCCCTGGGTGTTCCTGGCTGGTTCACACAATTGCCTGCTTGATGTCTCTGAAGGCTCCTCAAACTCCAGTGTGCAGACCTGCTGTCCTGAGACTCTTCCCTTCCGCCAGGCTCCCTCCAGTCACCTTCCCCCTTTAAACTCACAGCAGCACTCTTCCTTCCTCTAGCTACTCAGACAAAAACCCACACTGGCACCCTTGTTCTTCCCTCTCACTGACCTCAGATCCAATCCAAGAGAAATGCAGTTGTCTCTTATTTCAAAGCACATACAGAGCCCAGTGAGCATCTGCAGCGGGCCCACGCTTGCCTGGACCAGCATGACCTCTCGCCCATTACTGCCAACAACCTCCACAGGGCTTTCCTGGCTCTTCCTCGCTTGCCCATGAAGAATTCCAAACATAGCTCCAGAGCAGTCCCTCGACACTGAAGGCGTGCCACTCTGGCTGGAATCCCCAGCAGCTCCCATGTAAGAGCATCTACAATGGCCCACAAAGCCCACTGACATCCTGGTGCTGTCCCAACATCTCTGCTCCGGGCCATGAGGGTTCTGGCTATTAGGCTCTGCAGTGCTCTCTGCTTCTGCCTGGACAAGCTGCTGTTCAAGGAGCCCTGCACCTACCCTTGGAGCTACTCATCACACGACAGCCTGAACGCGGGGCCCTCAGGAGCCTCCGGCCTGCTCTGTGGTGTCCTTCTTCGCATTTTTGTTCCGCACTAAGTAGCTCATTACTTCTTGTTTGTTGACCAGCTGTTGGAATGTATGTTGCAGTCCGACAGAGGTCTGTGTTTTCTGTTCACAGATGGGTCCAGCACAAGAGTGCCCTGTCTGTGGCAGACAGTAAGTACCTGTGACCGAAGGGCCGTCCAGACTTTCATACTCCTGGCAACAACCAACCCAGGATCTGAAACAGCACCCTGATTAAAGTGACAATTTCCCCAAGACACTAAAGCATTAAACTAAGTGACAAGCTCATCACCTCCTCTCCATGACATGTAGGTGTTATAAAAAAAAAGCTGTAGGGCTGATGTGAGATCCATGAGGAAGGAAAGAGGGACATCATACACTGTACGACAGTCGACCCAGGGCTGCCTGAGCCAGCCTCTCTCCACTGCGGGGTGTGCTCAAGTGCCCTCCCTCTTAGCGCATAGGGAAGGCTGGGGAGAAAAGGGTTCAATGCCAGGATCCACGATGAGGACAAAGTGGCCCTGAGCATGCAGATCTGTTCCTTGGCTTTTACCCACCTTGGTGATGGGGGCAAGGAATGTGCTTCAGGGGCTACCTTAATCTAAGTCTTAAATACAGTATTAGGAGACAATGCAAGTTTTACTGAGAAAAAGTGAATTTTTAATTATCTTGTGAATCTACTTAGAAAAACACACACAAGCAATGTTCACAACTATAAATTTAAACCTTTTTTGCACTAAAAAAAAAAAAAAACACAAAACAACAAACACAAAACCACAGGCATGAACTGTAAACCTGTATTAATATCAACTAGTCTTAAGGTTAACTCTTAGCAGTAATTCAGTATTTTCCTCCTTGCAATTGTAATGTTTTAGCACCAAATGATCTCCCACAGAGGTACTAGTAACAACACTGGCTGCCAGTGTAAGGAGATGTTTCCACACACACTCCTCGCACACACACCTTCCACTCACACCAACAAGGAGACATGTGCAGATGGTGTCACACGCTGACTCCAGGGCAATGGAAACAAGACAGAGGCACGGGGTCACACGACTTTAATGTAGTGCATTTGTAGAAAAGGCCAGCCTCCGCTCCCAGGCGTGCGCTTGTCCTCAGACTTTAATGTCATGATTTAGAAGATGCAGACGTTATTGCCTAAATATTATTCTATACATTTCCATCAGTGTTCAGGAAAACACTTTAAATTGCTACTTAATTTACACCATAGTGACTGGGTTACAGCTTTAGCTCATTGGCAATTTTGGAAGCAATATTTTTGAAAGCTATGGATGTCCCTGATATCCGCTTGAACCGGACCCCATTCAGAGACAGTCTCGGCAGCTTACACACCTCCATCTCCCACTGCACCATGTTCTCTGCGTGCCCGTCGCCCTGGACGCAGAAGAGCAGGAAGCGCTCCCTCTGCTCATAGTCGCAGTTATTGGCGTCCAGCACTTTGCGGATTTCCCGCATCATGTCACTGGGATCCATGGAACTAGTGGTTTTCATGCTCCAGGTGAAGCGCAGGGAGCGAGGCTTTGCTTCTTTGTTCTCATCCTTCGGCTCAGCATGGACGTTGCGACTGGAATGCACAGGGGCAGGGTCATTCTCTACTGTACAGGACAGCGAGCCCTTTCTACCATCAACACAAAATGACAATGACCTCCACCCTTTGCCTGTGCAGACTTGCATTTGCTAGGAAGTGTTCCTCTGTTCCCACCATCCCAACCAGAAGCCACATGCACAAGAATCTACCTGGCTGAAAAGTCTTCACTAGCCCCTCTACTGACTAAAACTAAGAGAGTGATTTACTCAGCAGAGTCCTTGGAATCAGCACAGTGAAGACAAGGCCTAGGTCTGTGTCTGGGAAGTACTGGTGGCCCGCCTCAAAATTCTGCCTACCCCACTGTTGCGCTGCTAATCTAGTCCTGCTCACCATGACTGTGGCAGAAACTGGTACTCAGGATTACCAGGGGACTCCACGCCTACAGCTCACAATCACTCTTCCCTGTCAACAGCCCCAGATGCTGAGTGCACGGCCAGGTTGGCCATCCTTATGGTCACTTCCATTCCAATGTTTTTCCTTTTCTCCATTTTGTAAACTTCCAATTTCATAGTTAAAAACAAAAACAACATCTGGTGGCATGTGCCTGCAAGTCCCAGCTACTTGGAAGCCTGAGACAGGAGAGTCACCTGAGCTCTGAGTTCTAGACCAGCCTGGGCAATACAGAGAGATCTCATCTCCTTATCCCCAAAGAAGAAAAAAGGAAGAATTCTTAGATGTCACAATCTTATTAGTGGAAAAGATAGAAAAATGAAAAATTTCAGCTCAATCTGTGCCACACAGGAATGATCTACCCAGTGAATGGATTATTCAGATCACAAGCTAAAATTCTGTGTTGAGATATTTGAAAGGTCATAAAAGACAGCCCCAGCTCTCACAATTTGGGACTGTGATTGAGGAAACAGCACCAGCTCAGGAGAGGGAGGGCAAGATGCTGGAGAGTCACAGGAGGGGAGTCCAGCCTGGCAAGACAGTGAGACCAGGCAGGACAAGAAGAAAGGGCCTGCTGGGGGCAGCCTGAGTGCTCTGAAGAGCCCCTAAATGGGATTTCAACAAAATACCATTCAGCCAAGGATGAGTTTTGTTTTGAGCAGAAAAACCCAAGGTATGGAGGCAGGAAGTATAGGATGTGTTTCTGGGGCAGAGTGCACAGGTTGCCTGCAACAGGCACAGTGGTACCCCAGGACAGCCCGAGGCCTTGCTCAGCAGTTGCCATGGTGGGCCTCATCTTGCTTGGCATAGGAGGCTGGTCCCATCACCCGCTTCCTATTGAGGATAGGCAATGAATTTGTACAGCAAGAATCTGATCCAGTCTGGAACAGCAGGCCCGGGGGAGGCTGTCTGGCGCTCACCCTAACTCTGCTTCAAAAGGATAGCCGCACCAGCACTCAGGGCCTTGAATTCTGTCACCAGAGCTCACTCTGGAAAGACCAGGAGGAGCAAAGGGGTTAAGGAGGTCCTGACATAGCATGGTGGTGACTGGTGTGAAGCAGGCCAAGTGGAGGAGACCTACAACTACAGAGACAGTCCTAGGCCCATCTGTGACTCCATATCCACGTAATGATAGCCACATAAAACCAAAAAGCAAAATATGACTTCTATAATAATCTTAGAAGAGGAAAATATATCTGGAAAAATGAAAATTCTACTCAGTGTTCTATATTTGTTCCTTGAGAAGAGAACCATGTGAGGAGCCAGGGAGGAGTCCAGGGCCACCCCCACACTTCCCACCAGGCGCAGGGCCTGAACACAGCCATGCACTCAATACACAAGCAAATTCAAAAGGGGCTGGGAAGGCTTCTGCAGCACACCAGCGCCCTCGTGTGGCTCTGCACCAGGCCCATCTCACAAGTCCTCTCCAAGGACCAGCAGGATTAGGCTGCAAAGCATTCAGAAAAGGTCACCTTTGCCACAGAAATGAGGCAAACACTAGAAAAAGTTTTAAGTAGATAGAAATCATTTCCCTCACCTTGAGCCCTCATATCGCCCGTTCCTCTCATACTCAGTTGGAAGCCTCAACGAACAGAGTGTGGAAGCAAAGAGAAGTGGGGAAGAGAAGAGAGAACTTACATAGCAGCACAACACTGTCCTGAACACACACATCATGCAGCGAACACATCTGAGTACTTTCTAGTCACCAGTGAGCCTGCGGCAGTGCTGTGTGCTTCTCTGGGAGGACACGGGCATGCACAGGGCTGGGCAGCATGCCACATTGTCCTCCCACCTCTTCACCTGGGCACCTCCATGCCTTGGACCAGAGTGGCTCTGGCTTTTGTACCTCACCCACAGAAGAATGGGTTTCCAATTGAAAGAAAATAAGGCTATCAGTTGAACTCTGCATTCAATTATAACATTTTCTGTCCAAGGGAAAATTTGACAATGAGGAAGATCAACTGAAAAATAGTCAAGGAGTGGAATTCCCAGCAGGAAGAAAGCACTTTTCCCACAGTTAAAAGAGCCTTCCAGTGACCAATCAGTTTTGTAAACACAAAAACTGGCAGCCTGGCCTTCCTGCTCCGAATAAGCACAGGCACACTGTGGTCCTTAAAGGCAGACTTCCTGCCTCATAAGTGTGGATTCCAAAGGCAGCAGTATTTTTGGCCTCTTGATTGTCAACACCAAAAACATTAATGAAATCAGAATGCCTCTTATTGCAGTGCTCTAGGGAAAACAGTGAGAGGTGCTTCTTCAGTGCTAGTAGGAAGTGGCTTTAGATAGAACACTGTTTACTCTTCAATTCTCCAAAAATATTAAAACACTTCTGTTCTGCAGCTGCTCACATCTTAATATCTGAAAAAGTCAAACGTAATGAGGCTGTAGGTTTGGATTATATGCTTGTCTCCTATATTAGAGTATTAGCCAATTTCTGTCATTTTTAAAGCCTTTCGCCAATCCAATCCTCAGTAAAATAAAAATGATGACTAACTCAATTACCACTTACCTTTTGCATGCTTGTGGCTAATCATTAATTGAACATTCATGTTACTGAACATCCCGTTCTTCAAACAGGAGCATGCTAAGTGATATTAGTATTAAGACAGAATTATTTGGATGCTAAATAATTCTACCAAAGACAGGAAACGCAGAGCATGCACAGGCCTTTCGCTGCAGGGGTGCCACAATTCTTTCAAAATGTCTGACAGAGTTAATCTATTTCTTTCCAGTTTCCCCTTGAGGAAATAAGTATTTAGTTCTCAGCAGAAAGTTTAGTTTTTAAGGAAAAAACAGGGCCAGAAAGCCAAACCTGATGTTAATTGCAGGAGCCATTTGGTGGGATGAGGATTGAAAAATAAGTGTGCATATATAAATCCTACCTTTTGATAAACCTGAATGACATGTTTCTAAAAGAAATTAAGCCAAAAAAAAATTAATAGAAAGGACTCGCACAATTTATATAGAAAATCTAATCAATTGTAGAGAAAAAAGAAAACAAAAACCAAAAACCCTAAACATATAAGGGCTCCTCTTCCAGCCAATAATCAATGAGACAATGACATTCATTGAAAAAGTAAAAAGTATTACAGGTAATTAAAGGAGTATGTTATCTTTTAATTAGAAATATATTAAAAAAAAACTACTTGTAAGAAGAAGTTTAGAAGTAAATATTGACATTGGCTGTAATTAAATTTACTTAAAGTTGTTCAGATGGATAAACTTTTAAGAAAGAATTCAATGTCTTAGGTTCAAGAAATGATATGTCACAAATGATACTCGTAATAACATTTCTAAATTTTCTTCAGAACGTTATGAACAAAAATCTTGCTTTCTCATACATAGACACAAAAATCTCACTACAAAAGATTTAACTATCAAGAGCATCATTAATTATTTCAGGTAGATGACTTAACAGAAAGTTTGTTACAGTGGTATGATATAAATTGCTTTTTAGGCTACTGAGAGATTTAGATCTCAAAATGAAAATAAACTACCAAGATAAAACAGTATGGATTTATCTAATAAACTGGAAGAACTGTATTTAAAAGGGGTCACACTAAGGTCACTGAAAGAAATTTAAGGAGATACTCAGGTTATGCTGAATAGATTCTGACAATACATTTTTCAAGCTATGGATCAGGTTCTCCTAGTCACATGATCAGCTGCCCTAGGCTCAGCTCAGATCCAACAGGACAGAGGGGCACTCAGATGTATCTGCTAGAGACTGAAGTAATGAAATCCCTGGATTTTTTTTTTTTTGGTACCAGGGATTGAATTGACCACTGAGCCACATCCCTGGTCCTATTTTGTATTTTATTTAGAGACAGAGTCTCGCTAAGTGCCCCACTTTTGCTGAGGCTGGCTTTTTTTTTTTTTTTTTAGAGAGAGAAAATTTTTTAATATTTATTTTTTAATTTTTGGCAGACACAACATCTTTGTTTGTATGTGGTGCTGAGGTGAGGCTGGCTTTGAACTTGTGATCCTCTTGCCTCAGCCTCCCGAGCCACCATGCCCAGCAAATCCTTTGATTTTTTTTCCCTTCTAATTTGGATTTAATGCTGGCATTGCTTCAGAGATTAACTGACAAAAATTGAACAATGTTTAACTACTATAGACAACTGCAAACCACCATCAAATGTGGCACACTGCAGGCTGTCTACTTTAAAGAAACACATGTGAAATATTTTAAAAATAACACTACGTAACTATTAAGGTGGCATTACCTGAAAGATTATTTTAGTTGAAAAAAATTGAAGATTAAAAAGAGCTTTTAAAATACATTTTCATATCTAAGTCTTCTGTCTGGGAAGTCAGAATTATTTTTCTGACGCGCGAGAAAGGTGGAAGGTGCTGGCAGAGGGGAACCTTGTACCCTGAGGGGGAACAATTGTGGTCTGGACCACTGTAAAGGGTCCCCAGCTCTCCAAAGCCATGCACTGTTCACACCCGACCAGTGTGTTAAAGTGCCAGGGTCCACTGTTTTAGCTCTCCAGGCACTGCAACTTGAATCCTAGCAATTTTTGCCAAGGGGAGAAGCAGCTTCAACTGCAGCAGCAAGGATTTTGACTATTTTTAAGAACAAGCTGTCTGTAACCGAAGTATAGTACTAAAGAAGATGATAGCCCTCAATTTGTGAACTTTCACACATTAGGATAAAGAACTTTCTGCAAAAATTTTGGGGTGAAAATAGCCTGGAAATTCTAAAATAAGAAGACTACTTGGTTTGTCTTTTTTTTTTAAAATAAGAAACTGATCTTTAGTTTCAATTCAAATACTGTATCATATGAAATAAATGTAATTAGGGGACTGAGGTTGTGGCTCAGTGGCAGAGCGCTCACCTAGTATGTGTGAGGCCCTGGGTTCGATCCTCAGCACCAAATAAAAATAAATGGTATTGTGTCCAACTACCAACTTAAAAAAAAAAAAAAAGAAAAAGAAAAAGAAATAAATGTAATTAGAAAATAAGCAAGCACCAAGAATTCACGCCCCCAGTGGCCTTTTACTGAATTCTCCCAGGGGAGTGCAGGGCAGGGCAGCATGCTCTGCTCCAGAGCCAGACAGAACTGGTTCAGCTGTGTTTTTGCTATAGGATATGTGCTCCGCCTTAACCTTCCGAAACTTGGCTTCAATTTCTTCTACAAAATTGGGAATATCACCGGGTGCGCTGGCGCACACCTGTAATCCCAGCGACTTGGAAGACTGAGGCAGAATTGTGAGTTCAAAGCCAGCCTCAGCAATGGTGAGCACTAAGCAACTCAGTGAGACCCTGTCTCCAAATAAAATACAAAACAGGGCTGGGGATGTGACTCAGTGGCCAAGTGCCCCTGAGTTCAATCCCCGGTACCAAAAAAAAAAAAAAAAAAAAAAAAAAAATCTACCCCAAAGGGTGGAATGTGAATAGAAAATATGAGAGGGTGGGGACTATATTACACAAACAGATATACTCTTTGTATACTTAGAAATGTGCGTATATATTATTTTATAGAGAAAATACTCATACATAAAAAATCTGTGCACACTACACACACATCTCTGGATAAAATGAGTATATTTACATATCCATCTGAGCTCACAGTAGGCATTCAAATAATAGTAGTGCATTAACCAATGATAGTCTTAAGGTAACTACAAAATAAATTTAAGGGTTCTAATAGTGTGCAAGATCTTATTTAAAAAGCCCATTACACTCAGGCACAATGGTGCACGCCTGGGCTAGGGATATAGCTCAGTTCGTAGAGTGCTTGCCATATATGGACAATCTCCAGCACCACACACACAGACAAAAGGTGCACGCCTGTAATTCCAGCAGCTTGGGAGGCTGTGACAGGAGGACGCAAGTACAAGGCCAGCCTCAGCAATTTAGCAAGATTGTGCCTCAAAGTAAAAATCAAAAAGGACTGGAGATGTAGCTCAATGGTAAACTGTTGTGAGTTAAATCCACAGTATCAATCAATATAAAAAGCCCATTATAAAAACCAGGCGTGGTAGCGCACATCTGGATTCTCAGTGCAGGCTGTCTACTTTAAAGAAAGTAGAAAGTGACTCTGGAAGCCGAGGCAGGAGAATCACAAGTTTGAGATCAACCTGGTCTCAAAAATAAAAAGCGCATAAAGCGGGCTGGGGATGTGGCTCAAGCTTTAGCGCGCTCGCCTGCCATGCGTGTGGCCCGGATTCGATCCTCAGCACCACATACAAACAAAGATGTTGTGTCCGCCGAAAACTAAAAAATAAATATTAAAAATTCTTTCTCTCTCTCTCTCTTAAAAAAGAAAGTCATTTAAAAAAAAAAAAAAAAGTCTATTACAGAACAAAGTGTGTGGGCACCTTTTCTGAATTTTGACAGACCTTACTGCTATATATTCCTTTGGCCCAGAGGGGACAACACCTGCTCATATTATGCAGGGACGGGGAGGTAAACTGCCAGAAAATTATAGTATCTCCTCCATCTTGTGTCACTCAAGCTTTAGAGGCAGATTGCATTTCAGCCTAGTCCTGAGGAAGGAGCTGGGGGACACACAGGTCTGGGACAGGCTGATCCTTTCAGGGTGACCCCAGAAGAAAGAAAGACGCTATCCTGGAGCCTCCTGACTGTGCTTGGACTGAACTCCCTAGTTGGTCACTGAAGTGTACCCTTTCAACCATTCTCTTCTGCCTACTATGGAACAGGGTGTCTTAGTAAAGGGGCTGTGAGAAGAGTGAGTGGGTCAACTAAAGCCTCCAGTTCATCTGACTTGTAGTTAGAGCCAGCAGGCTTGGAAGTCCTCCCTCATCAAGTGACTGAAGTCCTGACAACAGACAGACTTGACTGTTGAGCACAATTCACTTAAGTTCTAGGTGACTGATCTCAGATGAAATAAAATGACTGGAGGGATTAAGGAGAATGAAAAGTGACATCTGGCTCAAGTGTAAACAATGGAGATGGTATGAAACTGTGCAGGGAGCTAAGGGACCAGAGGAGGAAGGGCTCTGACCACTTAGGCCCCTAAGAAGATCCTGTTGTTGCTCCCTAGGACACAGGTGGTAAGCAAGAGTGTTTGCACGGGAACACTTGCAAGAGACCCTGGTCACACTGATCACAGAGAGGCTGACTTGAAAGAATTTCCTCAGGGGACTTCAACTTGGGTTTCAGGGCACACTGCTGCCTAATGGTGCATTTCACTGCCTGCTTGTGGTGCAAGCAGCAGCCTTTCTTTTTCTCTTGTATCAGCCAATGTCACTATGTATTCTGCATATTCTACGCTAGATTAGAAGTAAAACCACCTCTAGAGACCTTAGTTTCCCAAGCTCAAGGCCTACTGAACACATAAGCATTGAATACGCAATCAGATATTATTGAGAATAAGCTGGGGTTTTATCTAGAAAACTACCCCAAGATAAGAAAGTTATCTTGGGCTGGGGATGTGGCTCAAGCAGTAGCATGCTTGCCTGGCATGCGCGCGGTGCTGGGTTCGATCCTCAGCACCACATACAAATAAAATAAAGATGTTGTGTTCGCTGAAAACTAAACAATAAATATTAAAAAATTCTCTCTCTCTCTCAAAAAAAAAAAAAAAAAGAAAGTAAGTTATCTTGCTTTCAATGTTAACTTCCTGAGAACAAGAGAGAGAACAATTTCCTGATTTAGCCTCTGAGAAACTTAGTGCTCATTACTCAATGATGATGAAGTCAGAGAAGATAAAATGTCCGCTTCTCTGTGTCTTGGAATGATCACAATGGATCTGTCTTCTGTCCTGGTGACTGCTGCAGAGTGCCAACCGCTTGCCCACCTGCCCTGAACGTGCCACATGGACAGATAAGTAATCAGAAGGAATAATAATTAAAGAACAATAACAAAAACCTTCCAAGTGCCAGGCAACTTGTAGGGCTATGAAAACCTAAAATCTTGGAGCTCTATACTTTCTCTTTTAAAGGTTTTAAAGGACAAGTTCAGACATATACAAAACAAAACCACCAGCACCAGCTCGCCACATAGGAAACACATTCCTCTTTTGCTCTGTTTGCTTGAACACCCCCAGCACCACCTGGCACTTACCTTCTTGTGAGTTTTGAAGTTAATTTACTAAAAAGATTAGTGGAGCCTCTGCTTCGAGTCTGAGACAGTGGTGTGGCTTCGTGGGACAGGCTGGGTGAGGCAGGAGGGCCGTTGTATGTTGCAGTTCGCCGTTCCCGGGGCTGGCCATGGAAAGTGCTACGAATGGCAGTGCCTCTTGGGAAGCGGATTCGGTCCGGGGTGGTGGCACTGCTAATACTGTGGGTTGAAGCAACCGGAGTTCTCTGATCAGGAATGGTGCTAGGAGACCAGAAAAGAAGAGACTCTGACATCTTTGTTCACAAAATCATGGCACATGAAAATTTATAATCACTATGCGGAGAAAGTCAGGTATAGAGAAATTGGTGGAGAAAATCAGGTATAATGTATCCAGATCCAAGGGGAATTTTATAGAACTTAGAAGCAAAAGGTAAGTTCAGTGGGAAAGGGTACCAAAGGAACAGGACAGAACGAGACAAGGCCTCAAAGAGATTAAGGGAAAAGTTTGAACACATTTTCAAGGACAAAATTAAAGCAGGGAATTCCAGGACAGAGAACGGCTAACTCACACTCTTCTCCCCCTTCACTTCCCTCTCAAATTGCTCACACACAGAGAACCGTGCCAAAATGAAAGGAAGGACTGCAGGTCCTGAAGAACTGTAGAACAGGCAACTAAAAAGTTTGGAAGCACACAAATGGCATAAAGTTCCACATGCTGAAAGCAACTTGGGGAGGAGAGGGAATGTCTCACACCCTCTGTAATACGCAGACACACACAGATGACCAAGGACACCATGAGCAGGATGCGCTTAACTAAAACCAGACAGAGGAGGACATCTTGTAGGCAACTGCAACAAAATCTTAACTATAGAATCCACGGCACAGAATTAAGCAGCAGCGGGTGACACTGGTTTCACGAGGAATGTGAGTTTTCTTACGTAGCCTTGAAGTTATCTCCTTCACTGTCTATTGGAGGTAACATCATCTTGGGGTGCCCAGAGGCTGACATGGACATCGACTTCTGATGTCTCAGCCGACAGGTAGAAGATGTGGCACAGACTGAGGCAGGGCTAGCTGCATAAGCGAACACTTCCGTCAGGCTGGGGGGTGGGTCAGGCAGAGGCAGAAACAACAGCGTGCTGAAGCAGTGGCCACGGAGCAGCCTGCTAAGCACACGCCGCCCTCCCCAGGCCCCTTCCAGACACGTTCTGGAGATTCTGGGGCGATTGCTGACCTGTTAGCTGCTTTTTTTCAAACAGTAATTTTAAAAGTTTATTACCTCAGAGAAAATAAGAGTTCTGGATATTCATGTGAGAGGACTGGTGTCTTTTGAGATTTGTATAAAATAATGTCTACTCTAAAAGAGATGTTTCAATACAAATTCAGATGGTAAAGTGAATAAGTGATAAGAATACCATGCTCTCAACCTAGTCCCCAAATGTAATGACTATCTTTTTAAAAAAATATTTTTAGTAAAAAAAAAAAAAATTATATATATTAGTGGTAGATGGACATAATACCTTTATTTTTATTTTTATGTGGTGTCGAGGATTGAACCTAGTGCCTCCCAAGTGCAAGCGTTCTACCACTGAGCTACAACCCCAGCCCACTGTAATGACCATTTATTTACTGCAGTCCTAGGGATTGAAACCAGAAGTGTTCTACCACTGAGATATACCCCAGCCCTTTTTGAGACAGAATCTCAGTGAAAGACCTGGCTGGCCCTGAACTTGCAATCCTCCTGCCTTGACCACCCAAGTCACTGGGATTATAGGTGTGTGCCACCATGTCCGGCTACAATGATATTTTTTGGTACTGGGGATTGAACACAGGGGTGACTGACCACTGAGTCATACCCCCCAGTCCTTTTTTATAAAATTTTGTTTAGAGACAGGGTCTCGTTGAGTTGCTTAGGGCCTTGCTAAGTTGCTGAGGCTGGCTTTGAACTCACAATCCTCCTGTCTCAGCCTCCCAGGCCACTGGGATCATAGGCATGAGCCACTGTGCCCAGCTACAATGACATATTTTCAATGGACGAATGAAGTCATGGGTATAGGGAGCAGCCGTTATATATCAAAATATTCTATTGCATTATGAACAATAGCTTAGACCCTCCTTTATAAGGAATAGTTGAACAAATGAAGGAACTGTGATGGGGCAAAGGGGAGGGAAGGAAAGGGTGGGGGTATGGAGGCAGGAAAGATGGTGGAATGAGATGGACTTCATTACTCTAGGTACATGTGTAAATGCACATATGGTGTGACACTATATCATGTACAACCAGAGAAACGAAAAGTTGTGTTGCAATTGTGTACAATGAATCAAAATGCTTTCTGCTATTATGCCTAATTAGAATGAATGAATGAATAAATAAATAAATAGCTGACATTTCTAATAAGTCAACAGTCCAGGGGCACTTAGCCACTAAGCCACATCCCTGTCCCCTTTTTATTTTTGAGACAAGGTCTCGCTAAGTTGCCTAGGGCTTGCTAAAATGCTGAGCCTGGTCTTAAACTTGCATCCTCCTGTCTCAGCCTTCCAAAGCACTGGGATTATATGTGTATGCCACCATGCCAGCCAGACCCTCATTTTTCAAGATGGTTTTTACCATCTTGATCAGAGCAAATTAACCATTTGCAGGAAGAGTGAAAGAGTGGCTGGTAGCCAGCAGTTTCTACTGGCATAGATAGCTCTAGACATAACTACCCATGGGAGCAACACAAGGATCACACAATTCCTCAATTTCAGCTCTGCCCCCATGTCCTAGGGTTCCAAAGGGACACAGTTTCTTTCCTTAAGAATGGCAGGACTGGGATTCTGACACTATTCTCAGTGTCTTCCTCCTGGCACCCTTCCCATGTCTTGAGCACTAGCACCTGATGGTGCTCCCCTTCTGCCCCCGTATCCTAGCCACTGTGGTATCTTGCTGGTGTTGACATGGAGGATTCAGGGGGTCCTCCTCTCCACATCTACTTCTGTGGTTAGTGTGGGGCTGCCCCACCCCCCACCCCCCCGGTCTCCATGCCTTTGTCCCCAAATCTCCAGTTTAGCTACCAGAGCTGAGACCTTCCTAAAACATAAACCCAACCTTGCAGTTTATCTGCTCATGACCTTTCTCAGGGGTCTTCAGGAAGTTCAGATCCTCACTTGGCAGAGCTGTCATGGCCCTGTCAGGCACTGCTCTAGCCCCTGCCATCTCTCCAAGTTCCATCTCCTGGAACTGGACTTCCAGGTCATCAGAACTTTCATTCTCTGTCTGGTGAGCTGCCATCTTTCTATTCCTGCTTCAAAGTTCAGCCAGAGGCGGTCTCCTCTGTGAAGATAAACCTGACACTCCCCACATGAGCTGAACTATTTCTTCTTCATCTTTAGCTCAGGCTTGCACCTGTACTGTGGTGATTCCTTTCCTGGAAGAAGCGCCTGCAGGTGCATTTCATCACTGTCTCGAGTGCACCAGAAAGCCCTAACTGCAGCAAATCTCCCCCTAACAGGTTGGCCCATTAGCCACTGGAATTGTGATGGTCTCAACAGGAGGGAGACAGAGGTCTTTGAGATGAATGGCTCAGAAGAGCTGCTTGTCTCTGTGTTTTGCTTGAGAATTTTTCTCTGTGCCTTGGGAGAGAGGCTCAGGTAGCTAAGAAAGAACTGAAAACAAATGCATTATAAACAGAAGAACCTATTCTGTTTTGCTTTTTTCCATTCAACATCTCTTCTCCTCCTGTGGTGCCAGTACTTACAGTTTGTTCTGGGGGAAGCAACTCTAGGTGCCTGGGTTGCAGGTGATACTGATCCCACCCAGACCTCCCAGCTACCTTGGCCCTTGAGGCAGACCTACACAGCTGAAGGAGACAAACTCAGGGCTCCTGTCTGAGTAGAGCTGTGTGGGGGCGATGTCAGGTCTGCAGCAAGCCCCATCATGGAACTGCTACAGGAGGCACAACTAGGAGCTGGACGTGACTAGCCAAGAACATTTTTTTGATTGTTTTTTGGGGTACATTATAATTATATATGTAATAGTGGGATTCACTGTGACATATTCATACATGTACAACAATAATTTAAATAATTTCATTCATTCCCCCACTTCCCCCAATTCCCTTGGTCTCCCTTCTAATTTCATAAGAACCCCTCTTTTCTTTTTTTTTTCTCTTTAGCTTCCACATATGAGAGAAAACAAAATCTTTCATTTCCGAGTCTGGCTCATTAACATAATGCTTGGATGTTCCAATCATTTTCCTAAACTTTTTTTTTTTTTTGTACCAGGGATTGAACCCAGAGGTGTTTAACCACTGAGCCACATCCCCAGCCCTGTTTATATTTTATTTTGCTTAGGTGCTCGCTAAATTGCTGAGGCTGGCTTTTAACTTGTGATCCTCCTGCCTTAGCCTTTTGAACTGCTGGGATCATAGGCGTGCAGCACCCAGAACTTAATTTTTTTTTTTAAATTTTAAATATTTTTAATTGTAGATGGACATAATACCTTAGTTTTATTTATTTACTTTTACGTGGTGCTAAGGATAGAACCTAGTGCCTCACACATGCTAGGCAAGTGCTCCACCACTGACTTACTACCCCAGTTCTACCCAGAACTTTTAAAGATACATGAACCACTATATGAACTTTTTTGTCTTTATTAACCCAGTTTGGACTGTCACACACAAAAGAGCCTCTAAACTTGGTTTAAGTATTTGACAAAATGATTGGCTGTTACCTATACATGATTTATAGGCATACACACTCTCTCTCTCTCTCTTATTATTTTTCTAAGAAGTCACAGATGAGCATCATTGTCTCTTGTTCTCTGATCTGTTCCAAGCAGGTCAGTGGTCAGTCGATACATTTGGGTGCCCTAACCAGCTGCTAACATTTTTTGCCAAACTGGGAACTAGGATCAATGACTGCACTGAGGAAAGCAGGAAAGGAGAGGCAGGACTTGTCTGCCATTTCCCCTGGAGAACATAAACAGCTCAAAGTTTCTGGAAAAGGGTAGGCCTTTCAGGCAGTGTCTGGCCCAGGAAGCATACTACAGATGCCTGGCTGAGGTGAAGGCAAAACCTAGAGGGCACGTAAGACAGCGAGAGTAGATGCACAGGTGCCTTGCAGCGGAGACCTGATCCTCCCTGAAGGGAGAGGACTTTCTAAAATGGAAGTGTAACTTATACTTTAATTTTGAATTATTATTATTTGTGGTTACTGGGGATTGAACTCACAGGTGCTCTACCGCTGAGCCACATCCCTGGCCCTTTTTATTTTGAATCAGGGTCTTGCTAAATTGCCCAGGCTGGTCTCTGACTTGTGATCCTCCTACTTCAATCTGAGTAGCTAAGATCACAGGTGTGTGCTACTATACCCAGCTCCAATAATATTTTTATTTAGAAATTTAATTCATGTTACACCATGAATTCCACAAAGCAAGCAATGAAACAGGATATGTATTGCTGACTTCTGTAGCAGGCTTAGCATTCTGCTTTGGAAATGGTAAATTTTTGCTGCATTTCAAGCTCATACAACCAAACTCACAAAACACTATCTTCAATGTATAGACCCTATACAATAATGGGCTAATATATATTCTACAAGCTCATTGAGTTGGTTGTTGTGAGAGTTTAAACAATATTTCCCCTAAGAAGAGTATTGAAAATGATGTTACGTTTCATAGTTTAGCCCATAATAATCCTCAACTGCAAAATAGTATATTGCATTTGCTTTAATAGATAATGGGTCCAAAGAGGAATTGTTTTTTAAGTTGCATGAAGCCAAGTTTCTATGAGCCTTCCCAACTGTTTTGTATTTGTGACTGATAATTTCTTCTTTCTGAAACTCTAATCGACTTACAGCTGCTAAGGGACAGGCACTTTGAATTGTTTGCTATTCAGACTCCTCTCCCACATCAGAACATTTTGATGTGATATGTGCTCACTAAAAGCATACTCAGGTCAGGCAAAAGCAGAATTAAAACTATTCCTGTATAAAAGGCACATGTGTTCACTGTCATTAGTCCTTTTCCCTGTGGCCCGATGCTAACCAAGCAGATAAAATAGTAAAATCACTTTACAATGAAAAATTTTAACCAATGATACCTAGTTCCCAAACTTCTTTTAGGACTCTGTTGTGTTTTACCTTAAGGGTACAATATTACTTCCTTAAATGACCACAATCTTTTACAGTCTTATGTAGCACGGGGGCTGATGAGCAGAGTGCCAGGGTAGGTTGCTCAGCAGCATGATTAACTTGCAAGGTTAGGCACAGTCTATGGAAACCAGGAAAAGTCTTCACATTCTTTCTGAGCAATTTATGATTCATAACAAGAGCTAAGATTTATTGAGCACCATGTGTTAGTGTTAGTGTTTTGCTTCGTGGTCAGAAGCAACACAGCAGAAAGCAGGCTGGCCATCAGCATGCCTGGCTCCAACATGAGTCCCACACAGAAAACCACGCACAGGAGCTTGTGCCAAAGCAAGAACCTGCCAAGACCTGTGCTTCCCGCAGACACCAATGACAAGCTCCATCTCTCACACAGGAAAGCTGACAATCAAAGAAAGATTGCACTAGAATCAGTACATAAAGCTGATTTTAAAAAGAAAAGAAAACAAACAAACTATATATATATAAAAACCCACTTATGCTGTCTTGTGGCAAAAGGAAAAATAATCTGTATTTGGTGAGCCTTTGAAACAACATCCTATTTTCAGAGTAGAATTTTGAAGGTGGTTAGGGCTTGTTAAGACAGGCATAGGCCTTGGTTTTGTCAGCCCCAATCATTTATGTTGGAATTCTGTATGAACAGCTGCATACAGAATAGAGTCCAACATATTTAAGGTTGAAAGTGGAACAATGTGCTTGTTCCAGAAGTTAACAGGCCCAGGCATCCTGCAGCTCACTTGCATTTTCAAGTAGTGAAGTCATAAGATGTGAGGTGGGAGAGGACAGGACAAAGCAGAGAGCTTTGAGTCAATGATGCAGAGGGAAGCCTCAACCATCAATGTTAAGGGAGGGAAAATTGTCACATTCATGTCTTCACAAAGTGAAAAACATGACCACTAGTTAGCCTTCAAACTCAATACTTGTATAGTTTTTCAATTACTCTATAAAATAGAATAAAATGCAGATATTTTGAAAACTACAAGCCCTGTTTTGTAGGGTGTGGTGCTGAAGTTCTGTTTGGCTGAAGACAACATCTTCCAAAGCAAAGTATTTCAATGACTGATGCTGAGAGAAGCAAGAAGGCCCAGGTGACAGTCAACTTCATCTGGCCCAGGTGATAGATACAGGGCAGTCAACCTAATAAGGAAGGTGTCTGTAGGGGATGCAGAAAGGAAATGACTCAAAGGAATTAAAGAAGTCTTTAAAGTACTTCCATGAATAAATGGAGTAATTTTAAAAAAGGTGAACTGGAGAAGGGCACGTGTGCACTTGGCCTGTGTGTGCAATGTGCACACAGTCACAAGGGTGGAAGCAATGAAAGACTTGCTCTAAACACTCTCCCGCAGCCCCCTTTTTGGTAGTAGGGATTGAACCCAGGACTGCTTAACCACTATGCCACATTCCCAGCCCTTTTCTAAATTTTTTAAAATTTTGATACAGGGTCTCATTAAGTCACCTAGGGCTTTGCTAAGTTGCTGAGGCTGAGGCTGACTTAGATTTGCCTACCTCAGCTTCTGGAATCACTAGGATTATAGATGTATGCCACCATGCCTGACTCTTTAATTTTTTTTTTTTTTTTTAAAGAGAGGGAGAGCGGGGGAGAGAGAGATAGATAGATAGATAGATAGATAGAGAGAGAATAATTTTTAATATTTATTTTTCAGTTTTCAGTGGACACAACATCTTTATTTTATGTGGTGCTGAGGATCAAACCCAGCACCCCGTGAATGCCAGGCGAGCTTGTTACTGCTGGAGCCACATCCCCAGCCCTAAATAGTTTTTTGTCATAAGGAAAAAGACAATGTTAAGACATACACACAGGAGTCAGAAAATAGGACACCATAATGTAAATATTTCTTAAAATTCATTGACTGATTAATAATCTTACATAAAAAACAGCCTCTTATCAGTTCAAGCCTAAATTACCTATGAAACAGGGACATGATGGACAATTAGGGTTTAAGCAGGGGAGGGTCTTTCTCAGGGGTCACAGAAGTTATGGGTCACATGTCATCTGACTAATAGAAACAGAAACCATCAGTGACATTTTAGAGAGTGTCAGAAGAAAAAAAAAAAAAAACTTTGATGTTAGATATGACCAGATGATATTCATGTCCCTGGGAGGCCAAGAGACCACAAAAGATGTGAACTTATTTCATGGATCTTCACTCCAGAACTCACTTTTATCTTTTCACTTGGAATTTAGTTGATACACTACTTTTCCAAAAATAAAGAAGGAAAATCCATACCAGTCTGGGAAAACTATTCTATATAGAACATACATTTAATTACACTCTATCAACTCAAGTTTCTTTTTTTTCTCTCTCCCTAAACTAGTCCTACCTCATGGTCTCTGGACCTACTTAATCCTACTTTTCTGTTTACTTATTTTATTTCATAACCCAAGACAGTTGTTTGCAGTTGTCTGATGCTCCTCTTCTGCCTTACTGTCTTTTAAACCATTCAGAATATCAGACTCCCTTTCTTCTGGATGCTCCAATATGTCTGAGGGAGGGACTCTGCTGCTACCATGGCCACTGGTGTCTTTGTGGCACTGGTACCCTTTCTTGAATACTCACTGTCCTACCTCATACTCCCTGCCTCAGGCCCCCAGCCTCCCACTTTCAACCCTGCTTAAGTAACTGACATGTACAAAATCTGACCTCCCTCACCCCATTCACTGCAACAAGCCAACAGCCAGCCACGCTCTATCTCATGGGGAGGATTAACCTAGTACTCATCAGGCCCTGCCAGCCAGGAGGGTATACTTGGGACAGTAAGAATTTGGAAACCTAGCATCTTGCAATCAAATTTACTTACCTTCCAAGAATACTTACTATTATTTGAATTTTGATTATAAAAACTGAGAAATAAACAACATACTTCCATTTCTCTTAGGAAAAAGAAATTTTTGTGCCAACAGGTCACTGTCATACCTGTTCTCCTTGCCATTCTGGATGACTGAATGCCTGTCCGCTGTGGTTCTCTCACTGCAAACATAAGTATTCCGCCGTGTCATCCCTCCAGATGCTGTGCTACTCTGTAAGAAAAGGGCATTTCTCTGTTAAACTATTAGGTTAAGTACAGACCAATAAGGAAAAAAAGAACTCATCTATGTAAACACAAATACTCAATCTTTAAAAATATGCTAAATTATCAACAGCAATGGCCAAAAGACAAAAAAAAAAAAAGGAGACGCCAACTTGTATAACTCTCATCTGGTAGACCCAGTGAAAAGTAGCTATGACAGAGTGACTTTGAAAAGCTGGTCTATTAATAACAAATAAAATAATCATCCATAGATTACTTAAAATCAGGACAATAGGGTGACCCACTATTTTTTAAAAGCAAATACTTTCAAAATAAAAAATTATTATATAAATATATAAATTACGAAGTAAAAAACTCTTGACATAAAACATCTGCATGATATTGGATTTGATAACAGATTTATAGACAGGACACCAAAAACATGAACAACTTAAAATAAATAAATAAATAAAAATAAGGCAGATTTTAGCAAGTGGATAAAGTTATGGGTGCAGTGGTGCACACCAGTAATTTCAGCAACCCAGGAGGCTGAGGCAGAAGGATCAAAAAAAATTTTTTTTAAATTTAATATTTATTTTCTAGTTTTCGATGGACACAACATCTTTGTTTGTATGTGGTGCTGAGGATCGAACCCAGGCCGCACGCTTGCCAGGCGAGTGCCCTACCGCTTGAGCCACATCCCTAGCCCAGAAGGATCAAATTTGAGGCCAGCTTTAGCAATTTTGCAACTCAGTGAGACCATGTCTCAAAAAAAAAAAAAAAAAGACTGGGGATGTGTCACAGTGCTTAAGTGTCACCAATTTGATGCCAGGTACCAATCTCCACCCCCCAAAAATGGAATTGTGTGTATCAATGAACACTATCAAGAAAATAAAGAGAAACTCCTGGGCTCAAGTGATCTTCCTGCCTCAGCCTTCCAAGCAGTTGGGACTGTACAGGCACACCACCACGCCTGGCTTCAAACAACTTAATTAAAAACGGGCAATATGCTGTGCGGGGCAGATTAAATGAACTCTAGATGAGGCAAAGAGGAAAAGGGGAGGGAGGGAAAGAGAACGGGTATAGGGGTAGGAAAGATGGTGAAATGTGATGGTTATCATTATCCTAAGTATATGTATGAAGACACAAAGGATGTGACTCTACTTTGTGTATAACCAGAGATATGAAAAATTGCGTTCTATATGTGGAATGTGAATTGTAAGGCATCCTGTTGTCATATATAACAAATTAAAATTAAAAGAAAAAATAAATAATAAACAATAAAAAAAATTACAGATTGAAAAAAAACCCAAAAACAACAAAAAACACCCCCAAAACGGGCAACTTGAAGGGCTGGGGGATATGCTCAGTTGGTAGAGTGCTTGCCTTGTATCATGCACAAGACCCTGGGTTTAATCCCTAGCACCACCACCACCAAAAAAAAAAAAAAACCAACTTGAGCTGGATTCACACCTGCAATCACAGTGACTCAGGAGGCTGAGAGGCAGGAGAATCTCAAATTCGAGGTCAGCTTCAGCAAATTAGTGAGACCCTGTCTTAAAATAAATAAAAAGGGCTGGGGGTGTAGCTTAGCACCTCTGGGTACCAAATCCCGAGTAACAAAAATAAAAATAAAAGTAAAAAGGGCAACTTGAATAGAAATTTCTCCAAAGAAGTTATACAAATGGCCAAAAAGCACAGAAAAAGATGTTTGATTATCATTGGTCATTAAGGAAATATAAATCAAAACCATGAAATACTACTTCATACTCACTAGGATGGTTATAATAAAAATGAAAATAGTGTTGGCAAGGATGTGGAGAAACAGGAACTCTCATATATTGCTGGGAGGAATGTAATATGATGCAGATGTTATGGACAGTTTGGTAGCTCCTCAAAAAGTTAAACAGAATGACATGACCCAGGAATTTTATCCTTTGGTATTATGTCCAAGATAAATGAAAAGCTAAATAATCCACATGGAAATTTGCACACAAATGTTTATAACACTTTATTTGGGGCTGAGGTTGTGGCCTAGTGGTAGAGTGCTTGCCTAGCATGCATGAGGCACTGGGTTCCATCCTCAGCACCACATAAAAATAAAATAGAAATGCAGTATCCACCTAAAAAAACTAAAAAATAAATATTAACAAAAGAATGTTTATAACTTTATTGAACATAATCAAAAGGTGGAAATAACCTAAATTCCTATCGACAGATATTCAGACAAATTGCGGTCTGCATGTACCCAAAGGCATATTAGTTAGCTGTAAAAAGGAATAGAGTACTAATACATGTTACAACTCAGATGAATTCTGAAAACATGCTGAGTTAAAGAAGGCAGACACAAAAGAACACACATTACATGGCTCCACTTATATGAAATGTTCGGAACAGGCAAGCCTGGAGAGAGAAAACAGACTGGTGATTGCCATGGGAGGAAGAATGGGATGATATTTAATGGGTAGAGGGTACTCTTTGGGATTGTTGAAATCTTTTTTTTTTTTTTTTAATTATTTTTTAAAAATATTTATTTATTTTCGGCAGAAATAACATCTTTGTTTGTATGTGGTGCTGAGGATCGAACCCAGGTCGCACGCATGCCAGGCGAGCGCACTACCACTTGAGCCACATCCTCAGCCCGGATTGTTGAAATCTTAAGAAACTAGAGAGAAATGGTGGTTGCACAACACTGAGCACAGTAAATGCCACCGAGCTGCATACTTTAAAATGGGTAACTATATGTCATGTGAATAGCATATCAATCTAGCTCTTGAAAGAAAAAATTTTTAAAAAGGAACTAAAGTCAAAATGATGAATTTTATCATTTTCTCCCATCCTTCCCTCTTCCCTGTCTGTATAGGGGATTGAACACTCAGCGGGTGTTTGTCATTGAGCTACATTCCCAGTTGCTTTTTTTTTTAAATCACGAGACAGCGTTTCCCTAAGTGGTTAGGTCCTTGCGAGGTTGCTGAGGCTGGCCCTGAACTTTCAATCCTTCTGCCTCATCCTCCAGAGTCATTGGAATTGCAGGCAGGTGCTGGCTTCCTATAATTTATTATTATTATTATTACTTTTTGCAGCACTGGAGATGGAACCCAGAGGTGTGCACTTTCGGCAAGTGCTTTACCAGTTCTTTTTTATTTTTGAATTAGGGTCGACAAGTTGCTAAGTCTGGCTTCAAACTTGGCAATAGTCTGCCCTAGTCCCCTGAGCCACTGGGATTACAGGTGTGCAACATGATGCCCATTCCAATCTATAATCATTTCTTTCTTTCTCTCTCTCTCTTTTATACCTTTAGTTTATTGATTTATATGTAGTTCTGAGGATCGAACCCAGGGCCCCGCACATGCCAGACAAGTGCTCTACCGCTGAGCCACAACCCCCGCCCCCATTTTTTTCTTTTTTAAATATTCTTTTAGTTGGGCTGGGGCTGTAGCTCGGTGGTAGAGCACCACCTTGCATGTGTGAGGCACTGGGTTCGATCCTCAGCACCACATAAAAATAAAGATATTAAAAAAAAATATTCTAGGGCTGGGGATGTGGCTTAAGCGGTAGTGTGCTCGCCTGGCATGCGTGCGGCTCGGGTTCGATCCTCAGCACCACATACAAAGATGTTGTGTCCGCCAAAAACTAGAAAATAAATATTAAAAAATTCTCTCTCTCTCTAAAAAAAAAAATATTCTTTTAGTTGTAGATGGACATGATATCTTTACTTATTTATTCATTTTTATGTGGTGCTAAGGATCGAACCCAGTGCCTCACATGTTCAAGGCAAGTGCTCTGCCACTGAGCCACAACCTCAGTCCTATAATCTTTTTTCTAATCATATAATTTTTGAACAAAGATAAAGCACTAACCCTTAATACAGCATGAGTGGACCATGTGCAGTAAAACATTGAAAACTAATGGGACAAATTATGATAATGTTGTTGCTATCATCTGGATGACTGTTCCCCAAGGTCCAGACGTTAAAAGACGGGGCTCTAGTGTGGCAATGTTGGAGGTGGGGCCTGGTGGGAGGTACTTAGGTCATCAGGGTTGTGGCCCTGGACCATCCACTCTCTGTTTCCTGGCTAATGAAGTGGGTGGTGTGTTCCACCACATGTTCCTGCCATGATGTGCTGCCCTCACTGGAGGCCCAAAGCCATAAAGCTGCCCCGTCCTGGACTGGAACTGCTAGAACTGTGAGCCAAAACAAACCCTTTCTTTTTATAAGTTAGTTGCTTCAGGTATTATATTCTAGCAATGCTAACTAATACATGGCTAATTACTCTTCTATTTTTATGTTTCATCAAAACCTCTTTTTCGTTCTTCAAGGTGTCAAGTACAGACACAAAGCCAGGATCCGATATCAGTCAGACTTGGTGCTTCAGATAATGCCACAGGTGACTTCTGCCTTTATCTCCTGTCCTTTCCCTCCCTGCCGCTTGGTCCTTACAATACAGACAGGTTTATCAGTACTGCCTTTCCTGCTTTCTATCTCCTCCACTGCCCTGAACCTCAGGAAGGGCAAGCAATGGCCCAGGAACCCTTGGCACAGTCTGGCATGGAGAAGCCCCAGAAACATTTACCATCAATCCTCTCAGGACCCAGTCCTTAGGTTTTAGGCATTGATATTTCAAACATGTCAGGTTGTTATGCTGATGTTTCTTTAGAAATATCACAATGCAGCAATGTCAGTCTTCAACTGTGGTGCTTTTGGTCTCCACATAAACGTGAAGTTTCCTTACTCTTCCAGGAACAAGGAAACATTCAGTAGGATATCTTGTACAAGATCTTGGTGTTCATCTGCTGAAATTTGGTCCCAGGCTTTGGGCAATGCTTGGATACCTGCCAAGTCTCCCCACTGGATGGAGGAAAAGAGATACTTTCTCTTCAGATAAGAACTTCGATAATGTATCTCAATATCTTGCAACCATTCCAACATGTCAGCCACAGAAGGGCTCTCAGCCGAGGGCTGCAGAACAGCATCAAGACCGACCACGTCTGCATGTTGCTCATAGATCCGAAACACTTGCTCCACATGGCTGCTGACCGTGTCGTGCACCTTGAGGAGGGTGGCTAGCCTCTCCCCTAGCTTGTCCAGGACAATGTCCCCAGCCGCCAGCTGCTTGCGCCTCAGCTGCTCCTGTAAGTCGGGGAAGGCCCGGAGCGCCGGCACATCTTGGAACCGCATGCTTTGCGCGGTCTGCAACTGCTCTGCCAGGTTGCTGAGGGAGGCCAGGAGCGGCGAGCAGTCCTGCAGGGTGCTCTCCCACAGGCCCTGCTGCTCCTCCACCGCTGGGAAGCACTTCTTCAGGGCCTTCTGCACAGCAAGTAAAGGCCAGTCTTGAGCCATCTTCTTCCGGAAAGCGCAGCGGCTTGCACTCTCTCTCCATTTTATTTTTGGGTAGCCCAAGGCAACTTCTCTTTTATGAACAAATATAGGTAGCTGATAATGCTCAAGATGTCCTTTCATAACAGTAGCATGCAGAAAGATAAAAGCAATGACAATGGAAAAGGCATGAAAGCAGAGAATGAAGTCCTTCCTTGTCTTTTCTGCTATCAACAAAAGTCGAAGAATGAATTTAAACCAAAGGGCCATGGAATGACAATTCCATTTTATGGCATTCAGAAGGCAAAATACAGCCAGGCATGGTGGTACATGCCTGTAATCCCAGTAACTTGAGTGGCTGAGGCAGGAGGATTGCAAGTTCAAAGCCAGCCTCAGCAACTTAGCAAGGCCTTGTCTCTAAATAAAATATAGAAAATGAATAGGGATGTGGCTCAGTGGTTAACTGCTCCTGGGTTCAATCCCTGGTTACCCCCAAAAGAATCAAAAACAAAAAAGCAGCAGCAAAATACAAATATTTTTTAACACAGGGTTTACTACAACTAAACACAATGTTGGAGGATGAAGATGAAAACCCTGGAGCTGGGGCTGGGGATGTGGCTCAAGCGGTAGCGCGCTCGCCTGGCATGTGTGTGGCCCAGGTTCGATCCTCAGCACCACATACAAACAAAGATGTTGTGTCTGCCGAAAACTAAAAAATAAATATTAAAAAAAATTCTCTCTCTCTCTTAAAAAAAAAACAAAAAACAAAAAACCTGGAGCTCCTTTATGCAACTCTGTCCCATTCAGGATTTGATGAAAAGCTTCCAAGGGAGCAGCAGCCTGCCTGGGGCTCCTCTCTCAGGTTTTTCTGGGGCAGAAGGAGGGCTGCCTCACAGTTACCTTTGTAAATAAGACATGCTTGCCGAATAATCTTAACTTCACTCACTTCTCTGCAAATTATTTCCAAATAATACTTCTAGCAATGCTAAAAACAATTACTGTTAGCTCAAAGAGAAACACTTCAATTCACAGTAAAGTGTTCTGAATCAGAATGGATTCAATTTAATTGAACAAACACTACCTACTCACTGGGGATATTTTTATTAAGGGCAGAGATTAAGGTCAGCAATGTAACTTCAGGCAATTACCAACTGCCTTGCAATTTCTTTACGCTATAGTCTAGCTAAGTCATGGTCCCTGGCATAGGGCACACATGCCCTGCTAGAGCATAGCCTCCAGGTGCCATGCCCACCAGGCTTCTGATCACTGTCACCTGTCTGCACTGCTGTTTTTACTGACTTCCTCCATTAGATTGTGCGGTCACTCGATGTCTTAGTACCAGACACAATCTAAAGCTCAGATCTGTACAGTTAATTGCAAACAGCCTTTACACACAGGACCTGATCACTCACCCAGTGTGTGGGACATGTGCTATGGTTTAAATGTTCGCATCCCTCCAAAATTCATGTTGAAGCGTCATCTCCAATGTAACTACATTAAGTGGGGCTTCAGAAGGTCGTCAGTGTTTTATGAATGGGCTTGTCAGCGGCAAATTTGCCCCTTGTGCTGTGTGTGCACAATGTTCTTCTCTGGAGGATATAGCAACAGGGTACCACCTTGGAAGCAAATGCCAATGAACCTGGTAATGCTTTGCTTTGCCCTGGGATTTTCTGGCCTCTAGAACAATAAGAATGAATTTCTGTTCCTTATACTCAGCCAGGTATTGTGTCATAGCAGCAGGAATGAAGTAGAACAGGGGGTATCAACCAGAAAAACCTACAATGTAGCAAGTGGAATTTCTATAGGTGGAGATAGTATGCAGCCTAGTGGATGGATGTTCCAGGCAGAGGAGAGCACAGGAGTGAAACAGGCAGACTCAGAACAGTGGTGTCTAGCTGGTTCTAGCCCAACAATCCTAGGGACTACTCCTCAGGCCAGCAATACTTACACTGGGGACAGCAGGGCTTTTCTTGCGTTCAGGAATATCCGCCTTGTTGGGATTACTTGCATTCCCAAGCATGGGACTGGCTGGAGCAATTCCCTTTCCTCCCCCGGCACTGCCACCTGATTTCCGGGAAGGAATTCCATCTTCTTTGAGGTCACTATCTGCAGTGCTGGTCTGACTCCTCTTTGGATATGCCACAACTGAAGGAATAGCTGGTCCAGCTAAAAAAAAACAAAAACAACAACAACAAAAAAAAAGTTCATGCTTTAAAAGACAGAAAGTAGCTGATGCAGTGGCACAGGCTTGTAATCCCAGTGACTCAGGAAGCAGGAATTGCAACTTAATGAGTCCAGTCTCAAAATAAAATACCAATAATAATAAAAAGAGCTGGAGCACCTGTGGTTCAGTGGTAGAATGCCCTTGAGTTTAAAAAAAAAAAAAAAAAGGCAGTTTCACATATTATTCTGTGAAAAAATTTGTAAGATAATCTAAGATTCATCTAAAAAGTATAAAACAGTAAAATCCTTAAAATGGTTCCCATTTACATATAATATTGACCCTGCCCTATAAAATGAATCTGATTGCCAGTCATGGTGGCACATGTCTGTAATCTCAGTGACTTGGGAGGCTGAGACAGGAAGATTTCGAGTTAAAACTCAGCCTCAGGGGGCTGGGGATGTGGCTCAAGCAGTAGCGCGCTCGCCTGGCGTACGTGCGGCCAGGGTTCGATCCTCAGCACCACATACAAACAAAGATGTTGTGTCTGCCAAGAACTAAAAAATAAATATTAAAAAAAAACTCAGCCTCAGCAACTCAGGGAGGCCCTGAGCAACTTGGCAAGACCCTGTTGCTAATAAAATATTTTTAAAAAGAGGTGGGGATGTGGCTTAGTGGTAAGCACCCCTGTGTTCAATCCCTAGTACCAAAAAAACAAAAAAAACCCCACAAACCGAATTTGATTTTAAATTTCGCTTACTAGGGGTTGGGGTTGTGGCTCAGCGGTAGTGCATCTGCCTGTGACAGGCACTGACTTGCGACTGTTCTTCCCACTCAGTATCCATCCACATCATTGTAGGTATCGAGGTTCCTTCCTATTTACTGTGCACCAGTTGGTGGTATGGAGGTAGCACACAGTCACATATATAAGTCTTTTCCTCATGAATTTATTGTTTGGTTATCATATTTAAAAAGACTTTTCCAGTCCAAGTTACAAAACTTTTTTTGACTTTTTTTTGTGGTGTTGGGGATTGAACCCAGGGCTTTATATATGCTAGACAAACACTAACACTGAGCTATACTTATAGCTAAGGGATTTCATTTTTTATATTTTCATATCATGACGCCCAGTTGGAATTTATCCTTAGATGTGAGAAAGGGATCCAATTATTTTTTTCTGATTATTTCCAAATTGCTAATTATCAAATTAATTAAATAAATAAATAAATTTATTTTAAAACAAGACAAAGAACCCTTTGGAAGTCTGATTGAGATCACCCTTCTCAGGAAGGTGCATATATACACACTGGGGTTTACACCTTGGCCCCACATTAGGAAGCACTGGGGGTCAGAGTGGTCCTTGGTCCTGTGGCTTGTGGTTCAGAGGCAGAAGGACCTCAGTGCTTTTCAGTGGGCCTGCTTCACTGAGAGGCTCACTGGGGCCTGTCCTGCTCAGAGCACTTGAAAGACAGTTCTGGGGGCATTGTCAGAGCTTTCTTTTGCCAATTACTTCATCTCCAAAAAGAGTAAAAAAATTAAAAAATAAATAAAAAAAAAATAAAATGCCGGGGACATGATCAGTGATTTTTCTCTATAAATCAATTTCTAGAAATAGTCCTGCATGAACTTCCTTTTAATATTAGAAGGTACAAGAAAGGATTCTGAAATCCTTTGAAAATTATTATAAAAAGACCACTCCAATGAGGTGGTTTAGTGGACAAGCCACAGGACCAGGGACCAAGTGTCTTGGGTTTTGCCCTGGGTATTCTAAACTTGCTCTGTGACCTCAGGAGACCTAGTGACCTTCCTTGACCTACTTCTTTATTGAAAAAATGGGGGACTGGTGAGTATATGGCATCAGGTCCAAAGCTCTTTTTATTTCTAGCATTTTATGAGCAGGGGGAAAGGCATTAATACAGATAGAGCCTATGGGCCTAAGGAAGAACAAACTTATTAAGGCAATGCCTGGAGAAATGAGAAAATTGAATTACTAGGTTTCTTTCAGCATTTAGGAACAATTCCCTTTAAATTGAATGATTTTAGGAAAAAAACGTGGGCATCTGCTAGCTTATTTCATCGGCAACTAACAAGAACACACAAGGCGACAGACCTGAATCCCCACTTCATTCATAGATGCTACAAAGCCTGGTGTCAGAATGGGTTCTGAGCTCAGTTCTACCCTGGCAGAGCAAACACTGCAACAGCTTCAGTCCAGCCAGGCATGGGCATGCACTGGCAGGAAGAGCAGTGGAAACCAAAGAAAAGCAGCTCACTTTATTTTATTTTAGGTGTAGATGGACACAATACCTTTTATTTTATTTATTTTTATGTGATGCTGAGAATCAAATCTAGTGCCTCACACATGCTTAAGCAAGCTCTCTGCTGCTGAGCTACAACCCCAGCCAGCATCATTTTTAATGCAAAACCAAAGCATGTCTGGAATGCTTTGTGTAGCTCAGTTTCAAATCTCAAGATCAAAGAATGGAGGTAAAAAATGTCCAGAGAAGGGAAATGAAATGAACAAGGGATTAATGGGGAGTCCCACAGGAGGTCATTCTTTTAAATAGGACCAGGTCAGCCTGGGAAAGATGGAGCACGCCCGTAATCCCAGGGGCTTGGGAGGCTAAGGCAGGAGGATCCCAAGTTCAGAGCCAGCCTCAGCAAAAGCAAGGCACTAAGCAACTCAGTGAGACTCCGTCTCTAAATAAAATACAAAAAAGTGCTGGGCATGTGGTTCATTGGTTGAGAGCCCCTTAATTCAATCCCTGGTACCCAAAAAGAAGAAAGAAAAAAGAAATTAGGACTAGGTCAATATAGATTTACTTTCTGAACCCTAGAATACTGGAGTTAAAGGAATACCCACAATTTTTACATTTACAGCCACACATATGCTAGCATCTCAGGAACCCAAAAGAGCTGCCTTAAAGGTAGAAGAATAACCACAGGGGTAGGTCAGCCTACCCATCGGGGCCTTCAGCTTCCAGTGAAGTTTAAGAGTGAGGGTGGCTTAACCAAACCAACAACAAGAGTGAGGATGAGAATGACACCATAACAATTAAAGCCAATTAAGACACAACTGAGGTACCATGGACTCCCTAGGGTTGCTTTAACCAACATGGTGGCTACTGGCCACATGTGGTTCTATGTATTTACTTTAAGTGAGATTTAAAAACACTGTTAAGTCCACTTGACTGGGCTTCACAGATATAGAACATTGTTAGCAACACAGAGAATTCTACCAGAGAATGCTGTCCTACAAAGTAAAACCAAGGCAGGGGTGGAGAAGAGATGGATAGAACTCCAGACTACTAAGTCAGGGGTCTCAGAGGGTGAAAAGCCTTGGGGAGCTTCTGCACAGCTGAGCCTTACCCAGCCAGAGTCCACCAAATCTGTCAAGGAGATAAGAGCCTTGATTGTGCCAGAACCTGAGAAAAGACAGGCAGGCAATGCCACAAAGGAACATCACACCAATTTCCACCCTGGCAGACCACAAGCAAAAAAAGGGTACAGCCAGAACTGCTGAACAGCCTCAGACTTACCATGGTCACTGTACCGTCTCTGCTTCTGGCTGGAAGAAACACTTCTTTGCACTTTGTGGTGAGGAGACTGGCCAGTGCTGTTGCTGAGGTCACTGCTTGGCCGCACCTTAGCAAGTGAAAGGTTGCTGCTAGAACTGGAGTCGCTAGCGTCCAGCTACGGGAGAATGAGAAGAGCGGCAACCATACACGGACCCCAGTGGCTTGTCAGGAAGCTCAACTTCTCATGACCACACAGCTCTCATGAACATTCACTTAGAGAGGGGGCACAGCGATGTACAAGGTGACAACCCTAAACTCAGGCAAAAGCATTTTTCTGACTGCTGGGAAAACTCACAAAAGGTTATATATTAATGATCTTTCTAAGCTTTTTCAAACTAACAATGCTTTATTTGCTTGATTTGACACATCATTTCTAAACTATTAATTACTATAGGTTAATTTATGAATACTCCTATATATTTTAAGGCATTGTTATTTTAAAGTTAAAATAGTAGCTCATAATGGTCACAGGAGTTAAGATTTATTATTTGTAGGTAAATTTTAAAAATATTGCATCAAATGTTTTATATATTTAAAAAATAACCAAAAAAAAAATAGTTTATATAAACTGATCATTCATATAAAGGATATTTTAGCTCTTCCTCTTTGATTACTCTTACCTCTGAAGATTTTCTCCCCAACAACAAGTATGTAGCTGTGATTTCATCATATTTCATTTTACTGAGAGATTCTTGAATTTCTTCTTGTGAATATCCCATTCCTACCATAATATCTAAAATAAGGGTATAATATGGTTTATGTGTTTTGTTTGCATAAGAAATCATCTGTTACAGAGTAAAATAATTTTCCTTATTTGACCTAAAAAAATCATACACTTCCTAACATAAACAAATGGTTGAATGTGTTTCTGTTTCTGGGTACTGACGCTAGAAACTGCAGGTGGTGATTCATGAATGGGGCAGAACAGAGAAGCCAGACAGTATGTCTTGTACACATTTCTCATTCTTCATACTTGAGATGCGCATATAGGAGTGAAGACAACAAGTCATGTAAATAGACATATACAAACACGTAGGCACAGAGGAATTACCTATTCTCTTTTGGTCTGAGATGTCTAGTTCTGGTTCAACAAAGGGTTTAAGCTCATCTTCCTCATGCCCTGCATTGATCCACCTGTCCTTCATGATTTGCTGTAAAGGTGAACGATTCATTAGCAGCATAAAATAAAATATCCCAATGACCACAATTTAGAAAAATTTATTTTCAACATTTTATTGATTACAGTTCAAAAGGTAACTTAAGCCAGGCATGGTGGCGTGCACCTGTAATCCCAGCTATACAGGTGAAAGGTTGAGGCAGGAGGATGGCAGGATCTAGGCTAGACTAGGCAATTTTGCAAGATCTGCCTCAAAATAAAATAAAAAGGGCTGGGGATGTAGCTCAGTGGCAGACTTCTTATCTAGGATGTGTGAGGCCCTGGGTTTAATCTCAGGTACCACCCTCCCCTCACCAAAAAAATGTAACTTTAAAAAATATATTTTTTTTTAATTTCATTTCATGCTTAAAAAAAGCCCAGGAGAGATTTTAGTATGTCATACAAACCAAGCAAGTTCTGAAAATACTCATGACTCTCCAAGTCACTTGTATTATTACCTCTAGAGTGCCTCGCTTAATTGGGTTTAGCACCAGGAAGCGTTTGAGAAGGTTTTCACAGTCTGTGGACATGTAGAAAGGGATTCTGTATTTCCCTCGCAACACTCTCTCTCTAAGTTCCTTTGGGGATGTAGAGGAAAGAAAATGAGTCAACTTTAAGGTTAAAAAAAAAAAGAAAAAGGAAAACCCACTAAAGCCCCCATACCAATATAACATAGAAACATCAATTCATACAACTTCATAAAAATTCTCTTAGTTTGGAGAAGAACATGGCTATACCAAATTCTTTATACCTTCAGATTTTGCCCGTCAAAGGGAAGTGACCCGCTGACTAGGGTGTACAGAATCACGCCAAGACTCCACACGTCGACTTCCGGCCCGTCGTACTTCTTGCCCTGGAAAAGCTCTGGGGCTGCGTATGGAGGACTACCACAGAATGTGTCTAGCTTACTGCCAAGAGTGAACTCGTTGCTGAAACCAAAATCTGCTATTTTAATGTTCATATCTGCATCTAACAACAGATTTTCAGCCTAGAGGGAAAACACCAAGATAAACATGAAAGTTAACCAAAAAACAATTACAATTCTGACTCATTATGAGTCAGCATCCTCTCATGAAAACTTTTTGTAATGACATGAGATCAGTATCTCCTAATAATAAAAATGAGAAAACACTGCTTCTAGAGAAAAAGCAGGAGACAAATTAGAACTCGTAATTTTATAACATGAATAATCCAAAACACACATCAAATACAGATTAATTACAGCAGTAATTTAAGCATTCAATATACCCCCAAGATCAAGAAAAACATAATAACCTTTATGATTAACAATAAGGCTTTTAAAAAATATAGGCTCTTGCTTTAAGCAGACAGCTGTATTTCATAAAAACTGCTAGAGTTGAGAAATGGCTATTATTGGGAAGGGAGAAATCTCACTCAAGAGAAAAACCAGCCCCTTTCATTTACTTCAACCAACTTGTACGAAGCAGTTACCACACAACAGGAGTTAGACTGGTGATGGAAGTGTAAGGATGAGCCAGACAGGGCCCTGCCTCAGTTCAGAAGGGGAGAGAAGAAGGGCTGTAGTTGTAGCTCAGTGGTACACTGCTTGCCTAGTGTGTGTGAAGCATTGGGTTTGATCCTCAGCACCACATAACAATAAATAAAATAAAGGTACTGTGTCCATCTACAACTAAAAAAAGTGGGAGAGGAGGAAGATAAGCAGCTGCCAGCTGCCGGAGACCCATGCACTGTGGCAGAGGTTCTACACACCAGGGGCTCAGCACTGGTGGGCAGGCAGTTTCCCAGAAGAAGTAAAATCAAGCCTGAGACAAGTGATCGCAGAGGGTGGGTTTGCAGGTAGAACAGTCTGAAACCTATTCTTTCTAGAACCTGAAATCCTATGTGAGATGCACAGGTGGCCAGGCTGAAATGCAAAGGGCTGCCAAGTGACCTGTGCTTGAGAAGTATGGGTTTTCATTCTGAGGGAAAGAGGAAGCTACTGTGGAGTTGTTAAGCAGAGATGTGACAATTTTATTTATGTTTTCTAAAAACTACTCTGGATGCAATGTGGAAATCATACTGGTGAGGAAGGGACAAAATCAGAAACGGAAGACGTTAAGAAGGAAGAGCTCAGGCTTTGGATATGCTGAGATGCCAAGGGGTGCTCAGGTAAAGAGGCCTTCATGCCACCTGCATCCTGGGAAGAGACCAAAGGTCACTAGTACATAGGCAGCCACAGGAGCTCCTAGAATAAAATCAAATGCACTGAGGGTGGGCAACAATAGGAGCAAGTAAGAGGACAGCTTGCATGAGAAGGGCACAGAGAAGAGTGCCAAGTCAAGACTGAGTATCTAGTAAATGACTGGAGAATGTGCTGTGAAGGTGGAAAGAGAGGGGTATTATATCTGGAAGGTACCTAACGGAGAAATTGGGATGAACTGCAATATGGGGTAAACTCCAGCATGTGGAATGCTCTTGGTGAGAAGGTGGAAGAGAAAGAGAGTAAAGGAAGAAACAGAGCGATGAGGCAGCAGACTGCACAGCCCTGCAGGGTACAACATTCCTGTAAAAAGGAGGGAAGTGAAGGCTGTCTGTGGGTGTGTTGGGCAGATGGGCCTGGTAGGAAAGTGTTCTGCCAGCCACACAACCTCTTCCTTCTCTGAGTAAGGGCAGAGGTGCAGGCCCACAGGAGGCCTCTAGCAGGACTGCTGTTGGCAGGGGAGAATGCTCACTTGGGCAGAAAGGGTACAACACAGCACTGGAGATACTGTCCAGGGGCACCTGTGCACTTCTCGGGGTTTTTTCTCTTTGGTTTTGACCACTGTGCTCCAGAGATCAACTATTAGCTGTCACTAAAACAGGAAATACTTTTAATAAACTTCACTTTTATTTTAATACTCCTTACTATAATTTGATGAATAGGATTCAATTGTCATAGGATTTATTTTTTCCTCTTTAATAACACATCTAATACATGCCTCATTTGTGAAATAGCCACTGAGTGAGCTGAACATCCACTGAGCAAGGGCACTTGGACGTACCTTGAGGTCTCTGTGAACGATCCGCTTTTGGTGGCAATACTGTACTGCAGACACGATCTAGGTGGGTAAGAGGAGAAGATTAGTTACCCCTGGTACAGATGTGTAATTAAGAGGAAAGCTTCGTGGGCTGGGGTTGTAGCGGTAGCGTGCTTGCCTAGCATGTGTGAGGCACTGGGTTCAATTCTCAGCACCACATATAAACAAATAAAGTAAAGGCCCATTGACAACTAATAAATAAATAGCACTGGGGATGTGGCTCAGTGGTTAAGTGTCACTAGTATCAATTCCTAGTATCAAAAATAAAACAAAAGATGAAAGCTTCATCAATGTTCCCATGTTAAAAAAAAAAAAAATCTAAGCACTTGAATTGTGTGAATTTTTGAAAACAATTTTTAAAAATATTTTTCATCTATAGATGAACTTTTTATTTATATTTATTTTATGTGGTGCTGAGGATGGAACCCAGTGCCCTACATGTGCGAGGCAAGTGCTCTGCCACTGAGCCACAACCCCAGGCCCCTGAAAACAATTTCTTATATTTTGAACTTTTCAATTTTGAGAATGTAAGGATAAAAGCAGGAAGGTAAATGTAAGGATTTTTTTCCAGTCTTCTCCAGTTTTCACTGAAGTCTTTTCTTGCATTCAATCTGTTAATATTCCACTTATTTTTCAGAGAGGACAGGCCCAGTGCTTCTGGGCACTTATCATGACCTGTGAGCTAACCCACCACCAACCAGCAGTGGCAGACCCTTCATCCGGGTGTCTGCTCAGCACCCCTCTTCCCTGCTTCTCCCCACAACACTCCCTGTTCCTGTCAGCTAACGTTACTTACCTCTCCAGTGTTAGTTTCCTCTTTCTTAAAATGGAAGAATGGATGCTGATCTTATGTGAACTATGAACTATGAAAATTACTACAGGCATCAACAAGGGCTCCGCTCACTTTCAGAAACGATGTGTTTTTCTTTATCCAACTTGCAATTATTACTACAATTAACACTGTTAATTAAACAACTGTTTACTGACATTTCACAATTACTGGTAACTTTAAATAGTCGGACGCTTTATATGCTCATTAAGGAAATTTTAGAAAATATAAAAAAATACATGTAAGTGTATGCCTACACTACCATCAAATATTGAATACCTCCTGCTATTTTGCTGATTTGCTTCTAGTCTTTTTTTTTTTTTTTTTGGTATTTTGCATATGCATTTAGATGTACATGATTCTGTATATACAAAACTGGGATTACAATGAAAATACTGTTTGTTTTTCCAAATCATCATCATTCCAAAAATATAAACCAAATGGACACACTTATGCTGGACATAAAAGCATAGAGAGGACTGTTGTATATTTTGGTTCAAAATAAGCAGAAAGGAGAAACTGGGTTGGGGTCAGAATGGGATAAATACCAAAATCAGGGCTTCATTAAGAAGCTTTAGTACTTTATTTTTTAAAATTTTTTCTTAATACTTATTTTTTAGTTGTAACTGAACACAATATCTTTATTTTATTTATTTATTTTTATGTAGTGCTGATGATGGAACTCAGGGCTTGGCATGTACTAGGCAAGCGCTCTACCGCTGAGCCACAACCCCAGCCCCATGAATATTTATTTTTAAATAAAGTACTAAAGCTTCTTGGGACTGGGGTTGTGGCTCAGCGGTAGAGCGCTCGCCTAGCACGTGCCAAGCCCTGGGTTTGATCCTCAGCACCACATAAAAATAAATAAATAAAATAAAGGTATTGTGTCAACTACAACTAAAAAATATTTATTAAAAAAAGTTTTCAGAATATGAGACCCACTCATAATCAACTAAAGGTACAAACATTCCAATGCCAAAACATGGGTTTCAGAGCATGTATTAGTCTGGATTAATACTACTGCTATTGAATTCTATCAACATGAAAACAGGGAGATGAAATAGCTTTGCTTTCCCAAACAAAATCTACCTATGACACAGGTAAATCTTACCTTACTGCCTGGTCCCATTCAGCATTTATATTAGTTTTCCCTCTTATTTTTCCCCCCTCATATGGAGATTTCTTTTTGTAGGTTATTTTTAAATTCTGCTTTTGAATCACATTTGATAATTTCCTGTCCATTCTCAGTTCATTTCTCTTTCTTTAGCTCTAAACATCTCAAAGCTAACCTGTTGACACAATCCCTAAAAATATGCAACTTAAACCCACTGTTTTCTTGTGTTCTGTTATTAGCTAGAGGCAGGCTGAGATTCTAGATGTTTTCTAGGTTAAAATAAGAATGTTAGCCTAATTCACTTTTGCTCACTCAAGAAAGGACAGAAACATCAACATTACCAGCCCACCAAGAAATAGATAAGGAAAGAAGATGTAGCCAGGAGTCTATTCCTTGAGAAGAGCAAGAGTGCAACCAAGCAACTGATATGGCAGATGCAGTGAGGAGAACGGAAATGGTGAGCAGCGGGATGAGGGATCCTTTGAGGAGGAAGGTGGAACCAAGGGCCTCTGCATGGCACAAAAAGGATCACACCCAGCACCCTGTGCATGTACCACACCTTACTCTTTGTCATAAGCAGAAAAACTTAGACATTTTTTTTTTTAGTCAAAGTTGTGATGATTTGTAGAAGGCACAGCAATTAGAAAGTAAAAACACAGTATTGCGCCTGGTGCTGCCAGGTCTGAAGGAGCTGTCTAAGGCCAGTAGCCACCAGAAGGGAGGACAGTCTTTCTATGTACACAAACCAACTAAAGGCACAAACAAATAAGCCATTTTTACTGGTCCAACTAATAAGAGGTTCCTCAAACAGGCTTCACAATTTCTGCAGGGAATTTCAAATAAAAATCTGAGTAATTTTCGCAACATAAATGTCCAAGTCTCTCTGACAAATCTGAGGGCTGGAGGTGGGGTGGTAGAGGTGGGGGGTTATGGTGTAGGTCCTCAACTGCTGCCTGCTCTGGCTACCTGGACATGCCCTTTCCCTATAATCAGACTACCCGTGCAAATCAGATTCTCTTGGATGGAAAGAAATTTAAGTTGAAGGAGGGAAAAACTCTTGGCTTAATTTAGGTGGCCAGTTTCTATTAAGAATACAGTTATGGGGGCTGGGGTTGTGGCTCAGTTGGTAGAGCGCTCGCCTTGCACTGTGTAAGACCCTGGGTTTGATCCTCAGCACCACATACAAAAATAAACAAGTGAAATAAATTTTAGTTGTGTCCAACAATTTTAGTTGTGTCCAACTACAACTAAAAATAAATATGTTTTTAAAAAAAAGAATACAGTTATGAAAAGGAACAGACTGGTTTTGTTTTCTAATAAAAATTTGAGTTTCCTTTCATACACAACAGAATGAAACAATATTAGAAATAGAAAACCTACAGAATTCATCAAGTATAATTTTATCTTTTTATGGCTAAAAAAAGGATCAGAGAAGTTAAATGATAACCATAACCACAGTTAGTTGATTTCTTTTTTTTTCTTCTTGGTGGTGACAGAGATAGAACAAGGGGTGCTCTACAAGTGAGTATCCCCAGGCCTTTCTGTTTTTTTATTTTGAGACAGGGTCTTGCTAAGTTGTCCAGGCTGGTCTCTAACTTGTGATCCTCCTGCCTCAGTCTCCTGAGCAGCTGGGATTATAGGTACGCACCACTATACCCAGCTCAACTTTGATATTTAAAAGATTTTTAATTCAAAGTACTATTAGTAGCACTTTGAATTTAAACTTTTAAATTAAATTTAAGCAACAGCAAAAGTTAAGAAACTTATAGATGAACCCTTAACTATAAACACGAGACTAGCGAATCAAAGGAGACACTGTTAAGAGAAAACTAGAAAACCAGCTAAAATCACCTTTCCAAACATGTGAAACTTTAAATAAAATCTCCTATTCATCCTGACAAACTTATAAGTGAATAAAACAAAAATTTAAAGGTTCTAAGAGAAATGAGGCCATACTGCCTTTTAAATATAGAACTTTAACTGTGAGAGCACTGAGTTAATTAATTGATTTATTTTTGATGCTAGAGATTGAGCCCAGGCCGTGTCCCTGCTATAAGCACATGCTCTACCTCAGAGTTACATCCCCAACCCAGAATTTATTTAAAAGTAATAACGCACCTGTGCCCTTTCTTTTATTTAAGTCTGTTGGCAAATTATGGCCTATGTGCTCAATCGGCCCAGCCCTGGTTTTGCAAATAAACTTTCACTGGAATACAGTCACACTCGTTTGAGCCGTGGCTGCTCCTATGCAACAGAGCAGAGTTCAGTTGCAACAGAAACCACATGGCCCATTGAGACTGAAATATGCATTGTCTGGTCTTTTCACAAAGAGCCTGCTGATCCCTGATCTTCACATTAGGACAATGCACTGATGAACACATTGTGTCACATCATCCCCTTAATGGAACATCTAAAAACTTAAACTATGCAACAAATATACCACTTTTCATAACTTTAAATAAATGCCTATGTTTTTAGAGTTCTATTCTTTTGAGAATATTAACAGGTGAATAATTACTGAAAATATTCATTGATATTAGTAATGATAGATTATGATTTCCAACCTATTTTAATGCAACTGTGTCAATTTCATTGAAATATTCTCAATATTGAAAACTTAGAATTTAAAGAGTTAAGACTAGTTTTGAAGTGAGAGAGCCTGGGTATGAATCTATATCAGCTCTGCCACATGACAGACATGAAAATACAGGGTAAACTGTTAAATCTTTACATGTCTTAAGTTTTTTATCTTTAGCAAATGAGTATTATGCTAATCCTTAATCCACAAGGCTGCTGCATGATTTACATTAATTTATACAAGTGTCTGGGAGGTGATGGCCAATTGATAAATGATTATTAACGGAGAGTTATGTCACCTTTATACTTAAAATCAGCTAATTAAAATTAGAGACTCTTTAAAGAGTGGGGTAAAGAAAAAACTAAGTGAATTTTGGGACTGTGATATTCTTCTTGCTAAAAACTGAAATGGGGGGGGCTGGGGATGTGGCTCAAGCGGTAGCGCGCTTGCCTGGCATGTGTGTGGCCCGGGTTCAATCCTCAGGACCACATACAAACAAAGATGTTATGTCCGCCGAAAAAAATAAATATTAAAATTCTCTCTCTCTTAAAAAAAAAAATAAATAAATAAATAAACAATAAAAACTGAAATAGGGGGCTGGGGATGTGGCTCAAGCGGTAACGCGCTTGCCTGGCATGCGCAGGGCGCTGGGTTCGATCCTCAGCACCACATACAAATAAAATAAAGATGTTGTGTCCAATGAAAACTGAAGGAAAAAAAAAACTGAAATAGTTTGCTTTTTAAAAATTTTTAAAAGGAGCACCCTACTATGCTTGGCTAAAATGGTTTTAATTAATGTAATCACAGGCATCTTCGAAAGATTCTAGATTTTGTTTTTGTTTTTTGTGGTACTAGGGATTTAACCCTGTGTGTGTGTGTGTGTATTTACAAATTTATTATTTTAAAAATCTAATTTATAATATTTACTTATTTATTTTAAAATTAACCCAGGGGTGCTTAACTACTGAGCCATAACTCCACAGCCTTTTAAAATATTTTACTTAGAGACAGGGTCTTGATGAGTTGATTAAGGCCTCACTAGTTGCTGAGGCTGAACTTGAACTCACACTCCTTCACAGCCTCACAAGATGCTGGGATTACACAGGTGTGTAAGCACAGTGCCTGGCTTTATTTTTTATTTTATGTTTTTTATGGTGCTGGGGATTGAACCTGGGGCCTTGTGGATGCAAAGCAAACACTCTATCAATTGAGCTATATCTCCAGCTCTTATTTTTTATTTTTGAGACAGGGTCTCGCCAAGTTATCGAGGCTGGTCTTGACTTGCGATCCTCCTGTTTCAGCCTCATAAGCTGCTGGCATGCTCCATTGCACCTGGCAAAGCTCTAGATTTTTAAAGTTAAACTGCCAAAGGTCAATGTAATTGAGACTGATGTCTCAATTACAAAGCTCTGGGGAAACACATGGCTACCACTAACACCTGCCTCAGGCATGAAAGGTACCATATATATATATATATATATATATATATATATATATATAT